TTACCCTTAGCAAACCCTTCTTGACAGCAGGCAGAACCACTCACCCAGTACTAATTCTGTCTCAGTTTATTAGACAAGACATGGCAAGACACGAACTTCATGAACCACAAGTGTTTGGAAATCTCATTATTTGGTGTGCAGATTCAAAATGTCTGTAGCAGGGCAGTGTGTCCATATCATAACAGCATCTTATGTCTGGTGTGGGTTTGTTGGAAGGCTTATTTTGTAGTTAAATGCTTTAAGGTTTCATTAGCTAGTAGTGGTTTTATCTACATCAAACACACATAATTAGCATTTTTAAAGAACAGTTTTTGGTATACCATTGCAATGAATGGATCTGCAGACTTTTTGGGAGAAGCTGAGTATTTCTTCAAATTCAAGTAAATTTATGCCAGAGAAATCAGTTGAACATATAATATAAACACGTATGCAAGCTTTTGGGTGAAATATATGGAGCAACTCATGCATAGTCTCATTTCTGTTCCCATTGAGTCCCTTCTTAGAGAAAGGTCCTGATTGCTTGAGAAATCAGATTTTGTTTGAAAAAAACAAGCCAAAAAATATTGCTAACATTCTAGTGTTATTAACTGTTGTATCAAAGATTTTGTTCTTAAACTATGCTAGGAGTCCTAAAGTTAGAGACTAGTTGTTCAAGAAACCACAATCAGTAAAATAAATGACTTCTGGAAATGAAGAAGATGATGATACCAACATTATGGACTCCAGGACCATGAAATATGTCTTCTTAACTGGGTGAGGTACTCCTGGAGAGGCTGTAGGGCTAAATTCTAATCCTGGGTACGTGGGCACAGACTGTCCAGGGACTGAGATTAGAGTGTAATCCTAAAACTGGATTGAGAACCACACATTCCTTAAAGAAAGGAAAATAACTATATTTATACCTGGTGTTATCTGGTGAGTTTACTTGCGTGCCTTTAATGAAACGAAGGTGTGGATTGTTCACCATTTTTGATCTAGTTAATAGTTAAGATTGCAGCAAGTCAGAGTTCTTTTAAACATGCTGCTTTGGGGTATGGATCAAGGCCTAGTATTAGTAAATTCAGTCCTTCAGGAGCTAAGTTGGGTTGGCACCTCGTTCTAGGAGTGGGGTGAAGGTAGAGCCGTTCCTTTCTGCTGCCAGGGCAGCTATCAGCTTCATGCCCTGATTGCACCCAAAAGTGGGGTTGCATCACAAAGGCACAACGGGAGCCCCTGTGGGTGATGCGGGTGAGTGGTGGCGGGAAAAGCAGCCCTCCTCCCCTTTGGGGCAGCAGTGGGGCTGTGTGGGTACAGGACAGGGAGCTCTGAGGTGGGGCTCTGTGGAGCTGGAACCCAGGGCCACGTCCTGCAGCACAGCCCTAATGGTGTACGTCTGTGGTTGTGGCAGCACCCAAAGGCTCCATCTGAGGTCACACTGAGCAGAGGCTTTAACATCCTATCACTATGTTGGTTAAAAACTGGAGCAACAATTAATGAAAATAGGGGTCGTGGCTGAGCAAACGTGGGTATGCATGTGTGTATGTGTGCAGTGTTGTTCACCTGCCCTTGTCTCCTAACCAGCTGTTCATGAGGGATGGTCTCTATTACAGGGCTTACATACAAAGGGTTAAAAGCACAGTGCATTTCGTTTTCCTTGTGGATTTATTTCATAATTGACAATGAAAATAGCTTCTCATTGAAACAGTATGATTATTTTAGAGGATGGAAGATTGCAAAGTGTTGTTGAGTGGGATCAGTTAAAAGGAAGCCAGACTATGTTGTTTACTTCGTAATGGTTTGCTTTTAAAACATAAAGAAGGGATTTTTTTTTTCCCATTATTTTTTATTCCTAGATATTTTTGAAGTAGAAGTCTTGGGAATGGAGAATTCTCATGATCAGAGAGCAAGGTGAGTATTTTCAAATGAAATCTGAATTTTTAGTGGGATTTTTGTCTTGCTTTGAACTAAGCTGAAATAGTGGTACAAACAACAACATTGCCAGTACTGAGAGAAACCAGGCAGCAGAAAAGTGAGTGAGTTTTAGGATGGCTCTTTAAATCTGTTTATACTTAACAACTCTAATTTCCACTAAGAGTTTGACTCTCAAAAACATGTACTGAATCCTCTGTACCTTTTCTGGTTAGAATATGATATTGCACCTGTGTCCTTCAGACATCCCAACATCTCTGAGTAAATGGAGAAAACTGTGTATGAGAGCACTGAAGTAAAACAAGATGGTGCTTTTGAAATTAGTGTTATTAATCTTTTCAGGCTAATTTTCTTCATTACAAAACTAAAGATGGTAAACTGGTGTTAAAAATGTTTGCAGATTACAAAAGTCAGATGTAGGACACTAAAATCACATTTTCCGCATTCATATGGAAAGTCAGAAGCTTTAACAAACTTATTCCCCTTACAAGAGCAGTCTGACATTGCAGAGCTGATCGTGTAAACAAACTCAGAAGTCAGCATCTTCAACAGACAGAATGTTCAGTTCCACAGCTTGCAGGATCAGACCAAGGCAAAGTTACCTGAGTCAGGGTTGTCCCTACTGATCTTTTTCTATCACTGGAGCACGGGAGAGATGGGAAATCCACATATTCTGTAACTGAGGAGCTTGAAATTTTAGCTGAAAGGCAATCTAATAGTGCCCAAGCTTTCCTCAGCCTGCAGTTAATTCCACCCACACTTCTGATAAGAACAGGATATAAGGAACTCTTATAATATGATGATGCTATTTTTACAAAATATATCACTCAGTATATTGGTGTTCCACAAAGCTCTTACCACAGGTTTGCTACAACGACTGTGCACATGAGCAAAATTTAGGTTAGGCAAATGTAATGTAGGTATATCAGACTAAACCAGCCAACTGCATCCTCGTCATTATGACACTGATCAATGCAAATTGCACACTAATTTAGGCAATTCACTGCTCTAGGAAGTACCTGTGAAATGCTGAGGTTTTTCCATTGCACTTTAAGAAGTATACGCTAGCACAGCGAATCAGTTGTACTGAGTAACAGCCAGTTAGCTTCGAAGAGTATTTTAAGACAGTTAGAAAAGACAGCAGAGCATTGGTTTATGTACATTAAACAACTCAACTTATGTCCAGTTTTCTTAAAAACTACTGAGCATGCAGTGAGAAGCCCTCACAAAGTAAAAGCTTCCTTTTCTGAAATCGGTCTTTAAATGTTGCAGAATTATCAAGCGTATGCTATAAGGCAAATACAATTTCCACCTGGGTATGCGTCTGACAGATGGCTGAGAAATTGGTACAGAGTTCATCACAGACTTTACTTTTTCTGTATCTCTCATGACTACTCCATACTTTGCTCTTTGCAGTGCAATGCTGCTCTTCAAATAAACAGCCTGCTTCGATCTGTGCAGTTTCCCTCCTGAGATGAGCCTTTGCTACCAAAACATGAAAATCATACACTTCTTGGTGCTGCTTAGCAAGATGTTGCATAGCTATTGGTATTATAAACTAGTGCTGTTTATTTCTATTATTTCATGTATACTTACATCTAGTGGGAAGGCCTTCGTTTTGAGGAAAATGAAGTCACCGTGAACGTCCAAAAGTTTGTGCCTTCACCATACGTCTTCCTTTCAAGCTGCCTCAGTAATGTGATTGGCAGCTTTTAAACCACATCAAGATTAACATGTCAAAAACTGCCTTAACTAACGCTGAGTTTACTTTAAATACAAATTGAATTTATCTCGATTAGCCCTCATCCCTGCTTCTAAGCCCTACCCACTCTGACATCACAAGCCCTTCTCCAATACCATCCTCTAAACAGCCTGCAAAAACGTAATTACAAGAAGAGCAGCACGCTGATCTGATAAACCTATTTCACATTTAACCTGCTAAGCTGTTGTTAGCTTGTAAGATGCTTGTTGCATTCACTTAAAATCTTCCTGTTCCAGAAAGAAATATGCGAGAAGGTTAAGAAGTGCCTGGCTCTCTGCATTGTTGCCTGTTTGCACAGATTTCTAGGAACAGCATATTTCTGTCAGTTGGAGAGCAGTCAGCCCACAGCTGTGTTATCCCAGGGCTGTGTATCCGCTTGGACTGGGGAAAACTAGAAGATGGAAATCCTGTTAAGCATATTGTGAGGCTAACACAAGGATCAGATGGTTATACTGCTCAAGCCAGCAGTTTACTCTTTAATTCTCACCATCAGCGGGTTAACTCTCAGAATGAATGCCCAGTATATCACAAAGTTTAAAACTGCAGGGAGAGGTGAATTTTTTCAGGTATCCATGTCAGCCCGTGGGACGTCAGAGTTGATGTTTGTTTTCCCCTTGCTCACGTTCCTGAAGCTCATCAAATGCTCACTGCAACAACAAATGCCCCATGTCCTTTCCCAGATACCATCACAGCACCTAATCCTGGAGAAATGTCTAACAAAAATTCCACTTGCAAGCAGACAAGGTATCTCAGTAGCATGCCAGCTACAAGATGATTCTCAGCTTGTGTTCAATCCACTCATTCTGTGACTGCCTACAGAAGCTTGTCATTCCAAATGTGATGAGCCAAAGCAGCCTTGAAGAAAGCTCCTCTGCTGGGATGTTTTGGGATTGTCTGAGCGAGGCTGAAGCAAATGCTTCGTAAGATATGGGGTTGCCCAAGTACACTAAGAGCAAAGTATTGCATCAGCTTGTGTTCTTCATCAGATGTTTCAGCGTGTGTGTGCCACATTTCAGGAAAACTATGAAAAGTTTAACACTAGGAGAGAGTACTTCCTGAGGTAGAAACAAAACCAGCAATATAATAGGTATACATATATGTATTTGCTTCTATTTTATCCAGTGAGGGAAGATTGGAAAGGGAGAATGGTACTTCACGGGATTCCTGGCATCCAGCCTTTGATTTCTGGCACAGATGCAGGGTTGCTGCTTGCTGTAGTGATGTGTGACAACCACAGTGCTTTGACAGTCCCGCTCTGGAAAGATCTAATTGTTCTTGGCTGAATTTCACAGGTGTTGGGGATGTGTTTCTGAATCAGACATGTATCCATATGTATCTCAGCAGTCTTGTTTTTGCTGGTCATCTTCTCCAATGGGAAAAATGGTGAAGCAGCAATGGAGAGTGAGAGAGAGGGACGCAGGAGGTGAGTGGACTGTATCAGCTTGTCCTAGACCGTGGTTTGTAAGTCAGCATCACTGTTAGCTCAGATGATTTAGCACAGTGTATTCCCATGTTATTTATTCCCTTTGCACCGCAGAATCTGAAGATGAGTGATTCAGTAGTTGAACAGTTCCCATGCAATATTTGGTGTTGGTCACCTGAGCTACACTAAGTATATACTAATGTGAAAGATAGGGCTGGAGCTACACCTTCTCCTGTGCACTCTTGCCCAGATTTACTGCCAGGGTTATCTCTGTAGTCAACACAGCATCACTTCGTTGTAGAACATAAGGATTTGGAAGAGCACAACCAAAACCCAGCAGTATGTATTCAGGTTCAATCTCCACAGAATGCAATGGGGTTTTCCTGAACTATCCAGACCCATTGTACCAGATGGTACCGTATGGAAGTAACACTGATCCTTTGACTCTGTTGATTTCTAATTAGGTTTCTAGTAATTAATATTGTTTGCAGGCCTTGCATGAACTCTGCAGATTACCCATTCATGTGAATGATTAACTGAAAGGGGATTAATCCTGGCATAAGTTCAACTAAAAATTATTTTCTAGCCCTGAAAATCTTCGCTGACAGGCTAGTAGATTTTAATAGGGAGTGAGACGTTGATATTTGTGTAGTTCCATTTCACAAAGAGGAACTTGACAGAAGAGTATTAAAAATACAAGCATGGTAGATATAAAGCATTTGTTCACCGTTCTCAGACACAGGGTTTGAATTTTGGGTGGTCCTGTGTGGAGTCGAGTGTTGGACTTCGTGATCCTTGTGGGTCCCTTCTGGGATGTTCTGTGATTCTGTGGTAGCATAAAAGTACAAAGAAATGTCACCCATGAAAAGTCTCACTGAGTTTAGGGAAACTGTTGTAAGGTTTCTCAGAGGAATGTGCTTTTCTGAAGCCAAGGTTTTTGCTGGTTTAGCACGTTATCTGTGCCTTTTCAAACTTATCCTGTGACCAGTCTATGGTTGGACCTAAATACCTAGAAGATCAGCTATGGTTTTCATAGCACATTGAAATCTGTTTTAAACAGCTGCTGTGTGTCTGGTATGTTAGACTGTCAAACACTCATTTTACAGGAAATAATGTGGATTCTCACAGGTCCTTTGGACCAAACTTAGTCCTCAGCCATGCACACTGTGGGGAAGTCTGGAAGGCGTTTGGTCCAGGGAGTTGTCAGTGCTGCACAGTGTTTCTGAGTCTGTGAGCCTATAAGCAATGCCAATAAGCATTTTTCCATTCCCAGCAATTTCTTAGCCCATTCAAATGCCTGCTGCACCTAGGCAGCCTGCAGCAGATTGAGCCAAGCAATCTGAAAAGCTACTGCAGACATTGACATTCATGCAGGAGGTGGGAATGGAAGCAGAGATGCATGCTAGGGAAAGGGGGAAGGAATAACATCATGTTGACTCAGTCTCCTCATACAGAAAGGAGAATGCTGGCTGCACTTAGGGATGAGCAAAGCTGAGAAAGGGAACATGGGTAGAAGTAAACAAGGGTGTGCTACTGTGTGTTACAGAGCTCAGAATGTTGAACATCCTTAGCAGATAAATATCCAAAATCGTTATATTCTATATAAATACTGGGCCAAGGGTCTCTTTGATATAACTGCAGTCATTGACTATAGCAATTGTGCTTTATTATTTCATCCAGATGCTTGGGGTACTAATTTTACTTGATGGATAATAAGGGCCATCAAATACAGAGTTGCTACTTTGCTTGGGTTTCATTGAAAGATGCACTCCTAAAAGGAGAGGAAATCCCCAAAATGATACTCAGTGATTAAGTACATAGAATATAGGATTTCAGTGTTTGCAAATCCTTTTTTTCAAATGAACTTGTGGCACTAATCCTCTAATGGCATTATTTCTTTGGAATATATGCCGGATTAAGGAGTCACAATGAGGCAAAGTACAAAAATCCACATTAATCTCTCACCAGTGGATGCTGTGTGGGATGCAACTTTAACTGTGTTTTTCCAGACCTGGTCTGTTCCTATCCTTGCCCCAGGTCTACACAGAGGGAGGAACAGATATAAACAAATGTGACACTGAGCGCTCAGCAGATGGTCACAAGCCATTTAACTCGATGGAAAGGCGTGGGCATTTATTATCTTTAAACTGCAGAAGCTAAGCCTACCCTATGCTGTCTGTGGTGAACTGCAGGAAGTAGATGTACGGCTCTGTGAGGCAGGAGCAGGGCAATGTTCACCAGTGAGCAGGGAGAGAACAGCACCGCCCTGCCTACCAGCTAATGATTCCCACCATTCTGTATTGCACATGCAGGGCACAGCCTGGGCTACTGCAGAATAACATCCATGCGTTCAGCCCTTGCTCTGGTCGTCCTGCTATGCTTTAGGATAACCTTGCTGTCCCCTCATCCTGCATAGCTTGCTTTCTAGGAAGAAGAAATTAGGTCGCTGTGAAAATACAGTTCCCTTCTCACTGGATTACAGGGATGCTGTCATGGTGCCGTGAGGTATTTTTACTCTCATTCAATGGCCTAAAGTGGTGATAGAATTTCTGAATGGTCAATGCATCACTTAATGCACTGATGTCAGAGCACTGAAGCTAGCCAAGCCTAACCACTGTAATCAGTGCTTAACGTGCTTAAGGATTTCCCCAGTTCCAGGGATCGGAGATTATCAGATATTCCCTCCCATTCCACCTTCCCATCAAAGCATGGTGGGCACGGAGCCCTGAGCCCAGCAGAGCCTGGCACATGGGCACAGATGCGGGTTGCCTTGTGGCTGTTTCATGCCTGGGCACTCTTGTTAAGCACGACATTGAAAGTGGATGAAAGCTGTCGAGTTCAATGCGTTCCTTACTGACAGGATTGCTTTGGGTTCTCAGCTGTGTGACTGAGACACCCAGGTAGGGGTGTAGGACTCACATAAGTGCCCTTTCCCTGTGGATACAGAGGTTGGGTCAGCACAGCCACCCCTGGGCTCAGGAGGCATTACAACCAGCTTGGAGATTCCTGCTGTTTGGGAACAGTTACGTGCCATTCATTCTTGCAGGTAAACACTGCCCATGACAGCAGTTTCTGTGCATTTTTTCCTTCTGAACATCTTTCTGTGTAGTATTTCTCATGGGTGGGAGGATTTCCCTGCTGTTCATTTGAAGTTTTCTTCTCCTGATCTTATGCTATTGACTCCCAGCATCACACTGTGCCGCACTCAGCCCTGTCTTAATCATCTGTACGTTGACACACTGAGTCAGGGCTGTCCTCAGCCAGTGTCTGCCCTGCTTGCACAGCAGCCGTTACTTTTATTGACCATCTTTATAACTCCCCACCAAAAGCACTCCAGCTTGGATATGTCTGTAGTGTATACATAGCAGTGAGAGGTCCATGTATAAACGGTGTTGGAACAGGGACAGGTGAAGGTGAGCAGGAAACGATGAGGAAGACTGATCTGGCACATGAGGGGAGACAAGAAGTGTTGGGTTGATGTAGGCTGTGGGGGTGACAGCATCACAGATATGGGCCACGAGCATCGAAGCTAGAAAATGTAACTCTCACTGTCATGGAAATCAGATTCACAAACACACAAATATGGGGTAGCTTGGTTTATGCACCTGATGTGCTCTGTGATGTCGTACTGTGCTATCATGCTGTTGCCTACAAGCAGACTGTGGTGGGTGGCACAGCAGGACCTCTCCTCTCCTGCATGCTGTGCCATGAAGTGCCCAGCAGTGAGCTACCCCTCTGTGTTCCCTTCCATCTCCAAACTGCAACGCCCACTGACACCCGCCTTTGCTCAGCCTCCACCAACACTCCTGACAAGTATGGACAAAAGGGGTGGGAAAACAAAGAGCTTTTCTTCAGGTGCTGCTGTAACCCGACCTGCGAGGTGACTCAGCTGGCAGCAGCTGTGCGGGACGTGGGGCGGTCAGGGTGCAGCTCTCAGCCTGCACTGCCACTTCCTCCTTTCTGCATTGCCAGGTTGCTCAGCTGCGGCACCAGCAGAGAGCACGCAAGTGGATACTCAGCTCTCCCCCTGGAATAGCGAGGCTGGGGCAGCAGAGCAGCAGGAAGGACCCGCAGAGCTGTTGTGCAGAGCTGTCGCTGTCAGGCTGGCGAAGACGGGAACACTCAAAAGAAAAGCATCGGGAGTGTCCTGACAGGTACAAGTGAGGTTTTGTTCACGTGCCATGGCTCGCTTCTGCCAGCCCTGAAAGTGCTGTAAAAGGTGAAACAAACCCACAGGTGTACCGATGGAAAAGACAGGTATGGCTTTTTGTCTGTTTCAAATAATGCAGTTTTACAGCAAGAAAAGCAACCAGGGTAACGAGCATTGCTTTACAGCTCAATAAATGTGCACTCACATCTCTGTGCACTGCTTTGTACAATTTCTGTACTTTACATATGAGCAATACAGCTGCAACAGGCTAACAGGAGCAAGATTTAAAAGAATGCATCAGCTTTTTTCAAGTGCTCTGCCCTTGAACACTTGTATCATAGCAGGAGAAAAAGCCTACATGCATATTGTCGATACTGGTGACATTGTGTGTAACAGTTACTAAAGTGATCAAGGTTGTGTGCTCTGTTGGGGACGCTGGGTTGTGCAAAGAGTTCTGTGAGCAGATCTCTGCTGGGGAAAGGGGTCACAGCAGCTTCAAAGTCAGCAAATGATGATACAGCAAGTGTGGTATAAAGAAAGAAGGAAAGAATGCATATGAATTGTTACAAAGCCAAACTTCAATTTACCTGTCAATTAGTCATTGAGACTGAGGTCATCATAGCACTGAACTCTCCAAACAAGCTGACTGGGATCCTTGTTTTTTCCAGCATTGGTGCACTCCCAGGAGTCCTTGTAGTCCCTATTGCACACCTCACCTTCCTGACAGCCAGAGTAGGCTTTGGCATGGGTCACTTGGGTGCCAAACTTACCTGACAGAGGAATCTTTAATTTGGCCATAGGGAATGCAGCAGCTTCAGCCCTGGGTCTCCCAGTAGCCAGGTGGGGTAGCCTTGAGAGCAGTCTGTGTTAACAAAGCAGCAGAAAGTGAATCTTGGACCATCTCACAGTGGGACCAGTGAGTCTGCTGTGTGGATACTGAGCATTACCAGGCCCTTCCAAAGGAGGAGATAAGAGCTCAGAGACTAGTTCACTAAACAGTGACACTGATATTGGCATGGAGGGAATGGTGGGAAATGGTCAGTGCATCTGCTGTTATGAAAGAGGGTGTGCAAGAGTGTTGCTAAAGATAATTCCTTCTATGTCTGCTGATCTGCTGAAAGGAGACACACAGAGTTGCCAGAACAAGAGTGAGGAAGACATCCCAAAGAGTTCCCCATTTGACTTTGTTATAAAACAATTCCAAGGGAAGAGATCCTCTTCTGGAAAGAGAAAAGAGCAGCCTTCAGCCATCCAGAAGTTCTTCAGTGGCTTTGACTTTGGGAAATCAGAAGGCAAGGAAAGACAAGAAATTGAAGAAACAGAAATAAACAACTGTAGAGCTGATGATCAGAGTGAGAAGGAAAATCTCTCGGTAGAAGGTAATGCTGATACAATGAACAAATCCATGTGGATGCATTTTAATTTCATTTGCTTTTCTTACTGGACAGAAAGTTATATTTTACTGCCTGCAATATATCCTTTAGCCAGAATTTGCTTCTGATTGAAACACTATTGAGGATGTGCCCTCTAGCATGATAGGTGCTGAGCAAGGAGTGGGGTCTGTGCTGCCGAGGAGGCACAAAGCTTTTGTGTGACCTCCCTCTTGATCTCCAGTGTGAGAGGTCAGTGCTGGAGGCAGCTTATTAGTTGCAGAGCTTATTTGGTTTCAAAGCCAAGCTTTGAGCAGTAGCTTGGCTTCTTGTATTTAAGATTGTTCTCTGCCCACCCTGCTGCTGAAGCAATCTGAAAGCGGCCGGAGCAGATGTTTCCTACCCCTTGGCACCTGTGAGGGGGAGGGCATGGAAATTGATCGTGAATGTTATTTTGTTCATACAAGAGCACTCTCTACACACCAGAGAAAATGAGGCTATTCTTACAAAGCTGTTGGAAGGTGAGGTTTAGAACCCCATTCTCTGATCTAAGAGTTCTAGGAAAACAAGGAGAGGACAGCTACTGTGAGTGAGATTACTGTTCTGTGTACCTTTTGGTGTTGGGTTGTTTTTTTCCTTTTCATTTACGGACATTAGATGAAACTGCTGATTTATTAAAGGGTTTAGTGAATAATACAAATGAAACTTTCCTTGCTGTACAAACTGCATGGAGGAAGAAGGTAAGAAAAGCAAGAAGCACATTGCACAGACAATGTATGAAGTGAACACAGGCTGTCATAAAGCAGGAGACGATCACCACACAATTGCAGGGCCACTCTGTTCTGACTGATTCAGTACAGGCTGTACTCCAGCCGTGTGGCACAGGGGCACACAGAGGTGGTTAAATGACTTGTGTATCCAGAGCAGCTGCAGTCTGGAGTTTTGCAAGAATTTCACGTGCTTGAACGAGTAGTGCAAACATCCTGAGCCGCTGGCATAAGGCAGCGTGGAGACGTGAAAAAAAGATTCTTTTCACATTGAGCAGCAGGAGCTTTGTACTGATCTGACCTATCTTATCACTCAGGTTGTTGGTCCATGCTGATCGAAATTAGAGGCTGGTTTACTGGCAGCTTTAGTTCATTTCCTGAAGTCTCCACCTGGCGCTCTGGGTTGGTTGCATTGGTAACCAGGGCTGTGTTTCTTTGTTACTCAGATGAATCTTCACAGCTGATTTCTGAAGCAGAGTCACCATCTGGTGAGCAGAGATTGAACCAGTTCATGCAGAAACTGGGAAAGAAACCCAACAGCAAGAACCTGGATCTCAATAATTGTGCATTAAGTGCAGCAGATGTAACAGAGCTGGGTAAGTATGTATTTTATTCAGCTAGACACTTTGTGTATTTCTTTGATTCTGATTTTCCTATTCAGCTGTTCACTCCTTTCCTTTCCCTTTCTTTTATCTCAGGCTTTATTTAAGATTTCATTTGGTGGTCCCAGGTCCCTGAGGAACATTAGAAATATTAAAACCGTGCAAGACTGTGCAGCAGGAGAATACCTTCATTCTCAGGCTGCAGATAAGAAAGCTGAGATACAGATTGTCATGATTTTCTAATGTTTTAGAAAGCAGTATCAAGATGTGTGGACATCCAGAATTTGCACATGATGTACAAACAGTACTTTTTTTTTCTTTTTTCCTCAGCTTCTTTACTGCCATTTCTCCCAGAGCTGGAAGAGATCAGCCTGTCCTGGAATGGTTGTGTTGGAGGGACTTTGAAAACCCTCACTGCTCAGTTCCATCATGTGAACCTGCTAAAAGTCCTTCGACTTAACAGCTGCAGGCTGTCAGCTGAGGATGTCACCTCCTTAGGTACAGGCATTTATGTTTGCTTTCAGACAGCTTGGGTGTAATGTAATCCATCTTGTCTCTTCCTGCATCCTATCCCTGCTGCTTCCACCCTGGGCAATATCAAGTCCCACTGCAAAACACTGGGAAGAACTTGGGGTTGTGAGTGACCTGGTACATTTGAACAGCTGTACTGAGCTCATAGCTCAGGGCACAGAGCTTTTGTATTCAGAAGGCAACAGAATTCAGCCCCATTTGCAGAAGAACATGTTTCCCATCTGGATTAGGATTTTTTTTGCTGTCTTTAATATCTAATGGTAGACAGCAAAAGTGAAAAAAGTTTTCAGTGATCATAGGGTCAGTTTAGGACTTTGTGCTGCAGGACAGATGTAGTGCTCATTACAGAATATTTGTTGGTCTTTTGGAGGAGTCTTAAAACCAGCAGTGCTGTCTTAGAGCTTCGTAACTTGTTTTTGTAAGTTTGGAATAAGCTTATTCCTCTGCTTACTTCTTTGCTTGGAGTGCTTGCAGCCCTGCTTTGTGCAGAGCACGGATTTAAAGGTTTTGAAGTTGGTGCTGTGCACACAGCTCCTGATGCTGAGTCACCTCTGGGCCTGGAATTTACTGGTGGGGTGGGCCTGTGATACGTGTCTGAAAGAAGGGCAAACTCAACCAACTGCACTGTTCTGTAAGGTCACTGCTCATTTTGCAAGTTCTAAAAACTGGTCTGGGTTAAAAGCTTTCTTGTTCCCTGTCATTCGAATCCTTTTTTTCTTTTTTCAGGAAATGATCAGACATAACACGTATGCTAGTAGCTCAAAAGTAGGTGATGCTATCTGTTGGGGAAAAGAAACATTTTTGTATTGTAAATCTTTTGTGAAGTATTAGTTAAGAAAACATAGAGACATGAAAAATTATTATTTAAATACAATTAACGGTTTCCGGGTTAATTATGAGACTTTGGATCAAGTACTGTAAGCTGCATTTGCATATTGGTTGATTGAATTATTTATTTCAAAATACACATCTGCCTCATACCTCTGCAGAGGAATTTAGGAAGTTGGAGTTTGCAGTGGGACATTAATGTTAGAAAGCAGCACTAACACAGTTCCAATTGGCTGCTGTGTCAGGCCTGGAAAAGGCCAGTTTTTGAGAATGCAATAAGAATCAGTGCTGTCTGCCTTGAAATCTTGGGAAGCTGGTTTGTTTCAAAGTGATGCTTCCCTTGATTCCTTATGAAGCGATTTGAAAAATCCTGCTGGAAACAAACCCCTGAGAAATAGCTGTGAGAAGACTTCTTTCATCCCATCCCAGATGTCCTGTGGACACAGTGTAGAAGACACTGGAAGTATGCCAAGTAAAAAAAGGCAGAACTGTACAGGACAGTAAATTCAGGCTTGTAACCTGTATTGATTTCCCTGTAGATGAGACTTTCTGGGCCATGGCACAGGTCTGCAGTGTTGGTCATGCAGTCTGATGAGTGTTTGGGAACCTGGATAAATACCAGGTCTGTGTGCACTGTGATGGTAACTTGTGTTCTGTTTTGCTCCTTGGACAAAGTGAGGATTTATACAACGTGGCTGCACTGGAATGCCATACACCAATTTACCTATCAAATAACCCAAATTACAGTTTGAGAAGCAAGTGGGTAACTTTTCTCTATGTATTCAAGGCTGTATTTTTATTTTCCACTGAAATAGATATCTAGAATGAATCATCTTGGACTTCTGTTACAGGAGAGGCATTTGAAATTGTTCCTCAGCTTGAAGAACTGGATTTATCATGGAACAGCAACATAGGTGGCAAGCTATCACTCCTGACAAAAAAACTTCGGAAGGGATGCAAGATTAAACTCCTGAAAATTACAGATTGTAACCTGACAGCCAGAGATGGAGAATCCCTCGGTGTGTGCATCCACATAGCTGGACTGAAAGACTGGCTTCACAGAGATGTAACTCAGTTGAGTTAGATGATGGCTGGTTGGAGGTCCATCTTAGTAGAAAGCTATTCATTTCAAGCTTTGCATTATAGCAGTATTTACCAGACAGTAAAAAAAGGCCTGAGGGATAGGAATTTGAGTTGGCATCCAGTTGCCACCTCTCCCCTCTTTCTTCTTATCATATCTTAATCTTATGTGGTCTTTTGATCTGATGGAGTTTCTTAAAAGATTCTCTCAAGAGAAGTGCCTGTGCTCTGTTCTGATCTTTGCTGTAGGAGATGGCTCCCATGCCACATACAGTCCTTTATCTTCTCATTAGAAATTTTTCTTTCTCTTTGTACTCCTGCTTTTTATTCTCCTGCATTTTTCTTACTGTCTTCTATTTTTTTTTTTTTTCAGATTTCTTTTTCTATATGGGTTTTGACTGATTTTCTTGATTTCTATCTGATCAATGTTTTGCTGTATTTTTGGTAGAATAGGAACCTGGAAAGTTTAAATCACATGTATAGGCAGATCCAGCCTGCCTTTTCCTGTTTGTCATAGTGCTGTTCTTTTCTAGGGCTCATCTGTATGTTCCAGACAATTACCAATTCTAGTTTTCTTTTTTTTTTCTTGCCAGCTGAAATACTAAATGTGCTCCCAAACCTTGAAGTATTAGATCTCTCTATCAACAAACACATTGGCTGCAGCATGAAGGTCATTGCTCAGGATCTGAGAAATGTACCAGGCCTCAAGGAGTTGAACTTGCACATGTGTGGATTAAAGCAGGACAGCCTCCAGGGCTTAGGTTAGACTTTAGACTCAGAAAGTCTTTCATTCTGCATAAACTGTACATCTGAAACCCATTTCAGAAAGGCAGCGCGGTAGACTTTCGCTGATGGTCTGTCAGTATCAATGGACGATGGTTATTTGCTGCTTGAGGATTGATAAAAGACTACAGAGACTTTCTGCAGGAGTAGCATTTATCTTCCCCGAGTTCAAGCATGTGAAAGTCAGTGGGGAGAGTCACCTTCCACACCATTTATCCGAGACACATCTTAGGGTAGATTAATGGCTCTCTGGACGCGCTTCCTCCCTCTGCAGACAGAACATAGACAAGGGCACAGACAGTCTAGCTAACTTCTGAAGACTTAATCCTACTTTCAGAGGGGAATCCGAACCTGCCATTATCACTTAATGACTGTCCGGTGAAGCCGTACGAAATGGGCTTATTATCTGTGCCTCTCCCTCCTGGAGGTCTTATCCGTAAGACAAAACAACTGGCACTAATTAGCACTTCCAATGGCCTTTTCAGCAAAAAGCTGAGGATTGAATGGATCTGGAGATGAATTAACCTCACCTTCACCTGCTCTTTTAGAAAAGAATGGAGTAGCGTGGGTGCAGAGGCTTTGCAGTATTACTGTGTCTGCTGTGATTATATGCTGAAGCTTAGTCTAAAAGCTTTGCCTTCGATACTTTGTGCAGAATTTGACATTAAAGTAAATGAATGTTGAAGCTGTGACCCGTACTATTGTAATAGTCAGTGACCAGCCTGCTGTCGTTTCCTTTTCAGACACTGCTTTACAGCACCTTACAGCACTGAGAAAATTAGACATATCGTGTAACAAAGAGATTGGTGGTGGCTTTAAAGACTCAGCAGCTCATTTGGCCAGCTTGAAAAATCTCGAAGTCCTTGACCTCCACCAGTGCTGTGTAACAGAAGAAGATGTGACCGTTTTGTGTAAGGATGTCTTGAGGAAATGATTTAAGAACGTATGGTTTTGACTTCTGAAAATACTTCAAAGGCATAAGAGATTCTGTGTAACACAGTCTAGCAGATCTCAGCTCATTTTTTGTGAGGCAGCTCTGGAAGTGCAGCTCAGGGGATAGCTTCCTTGCTCAGTGTGGTGTGGGGGTTTTTTTCTGTATCAAAAGAAGTCCCACAGTGGCTGATCCCATGCGGAACTAAGGGCTTCAAACTGCCATGATTCAGACCCATGATGTGAAGGTAGGAACCACCCCCAAATCCTGTTGCTGAGGATCAGTAATTTGGGAAATGTCCAAGCAGTCTCACTGCTGGTATTGGCATGGATCCGAGGCTTTTATGTGCATCCTAATACAACTGCCTAAAATTACCTCAGTGAGCTCAGAAGTGGAGAATGATGTTGGTCTCTAACTCCTAAGTACTGTTAGGAAGGAAAACACTTCTCCCATTCAATCAGTGGGACAGCTTATTTATTGTGTGCATTATCATAACTTTTTGATATTATTGATAAAAAGCTTTTACTTTTTAGAACAGCAAAAAATCACGGCTCAGAATCTATACTGTCTAAATCTTATTTGCCATTGTGAAGAAGGCGATTTGAAAAGCTGCTGATGAAGTACTGGGAATCATTATTATTAAAATCAATTGTTATTTTTAATATTTCTTCTGCACATAGTAAAATCAATAGAGAACAATCGCATTAATACAAAGTGGTTGAGGTTAGCAGTGAAGACTTTTAGAAATAATCCTCCCTCTCGTTTAATATTCAATTCCCAACTTCACCTGGAAAATGCTGGCAGGAAACTGTGTCCTGACAACCTTCCACACAGCATCTAATGATACCTAATTTCTTAAGCATTCCTACAGAAAATGACAAGCAAGAATTACTCAAAGTATGTTTGAGTATCAAAACTTGGCCTTGACTTCTGGGTTGATTTCTAAAGACAAGTAGTGATGTCAGTCAAATATACAAGTTCTGTATCAGTGACTCATAAACACTTCATGTCTTCAAAGCCCAGGTGATACCTTTACTCTCCAGTCTTCAAGAGCTGAATTTATCCTGGAATAAAAACATAGGAGTCTCATCTGATCCTCTTCTCGGCAGACTCAGATTTTTACCGAAGTTGAGGTCTGTAGCCATCAGCAATTGTGGATTAGGCATGGAGTCCTTTTCATCACTGGGTAGGAATGCTTTTTTAAAGTGTGTCTGTTCTCAGGGTCTCCCTGTGGGACCAAACACTTCATTCTCTGTTGGCTGAACTCCAAAAACAATGGTTACATTACAGTGCAGGTCCTGAGTGGAAAAGTAATTGTCGCTTTCTCCTCTGGTTTTGCCTTACGAGGAAGCCAGTGTTTCATGGGACCTGGTTGCAAGGGAAGATCGTTGTATGTCTTCCCGTTTCACCTGACTGAATGAAGTGCTTTTAGTCCTTTATCTGTTAGTGAGCTTTCATGTACTTCTTATTATTGGAAGAGAAGGCAGCAGAACAAGACTCATATTATGCTAGAATTGCAGTTTTACTGTAAATCTGCATTTGCAGTTTATTAAGGTCAAGATTTAAGGGTTTTTTTTGCTCTCACTACAGATAAAGTAGAAACTTTCTGACTTACAGTGAAGTGTGGGGCAATGGAGGAGCTGTGAAAATGACTGCAGTAGTGGAAAAGATACTGCACAGCCAATGAAGAAAAGCCCAATCTAACACAGGATATGTAAATGCAACCTCTTTTGCTTACTTATTGCAAATCTCAGTGGATTAGTGGCTGCACTGTTCCTTTGATAGGAGTTTCATATGGCACACAAAACCTACTACAGAGGGATCTGTTAGAATGCACTGTGCATTTGCTGTACGTTTGATACCCTTTATTAGTGACACTAAACCCTCAGTGAAACTTGGCAGCCTTTAGCAGAAGCAGCATCAAGCTGAACTGATCTGAGGTCCCTGCAGAAAGAGTACCATGTTTATGTCATTCCAGTTATGGAAGAATGGCACATGGAAATCAGTGCTGTCAAAGATACACTGCATTTCGCCTTGAATGGCCAATTCACTGCCAAAAATTTCTGGGTTTAGGTGAATTCAAAATGTTTTTGAAGTGTGCTGTTGTATTAAATTGACTTCAGTGGAACAAGGTTAAGTCAATAATGCAAACAGAAAGGAAAGAAAGCTCTTCTGAGATTCCTTGAAGAGTCTGTAGACAGGCCCTTGTTACACTGTTTAATGAATGCAGGAGAGACTTTTTTTTTGTGTCTGACTTTTATTAGGACAAAATAAGTCATTTTAAGCATAGATAGGCAGCCTGTCAGGAGCCTATTGGCAGGTGACTTGCTGGTGAGGTGTCTGTTGAGGCCATGCTGTTTTCTCTTAGTAAGCAGAAGTTGCTGGTCTTAATCTTTTCAGCTGAGGCTGCCCTTCACCTTCCTGAACTGGAGATGTTAGACCTTTCTTGGAATAAGTGCGTTGGTGGAAACCTAAAGCTGCTTTTGGGAGCACTAAAGCTTGCAACGGAGATTCAAGTGTTAAGACTGAGCAGCTGTAACTTGGTGGCTGAAGATTTGGCGCTTCTAAGTACGTATAACATGGCATTTACAAGCAGTCAAGGAGCCAGTGCACACAGACCACAGTTCAGAAGGGACTTGTTCCATGTGCTGAGCACGTTTTTGGACAAATCAAGTGAAAAGATGGAAAATACAGCACTGTTTTTCCCGGAAAGTATTTTCATTTTGCTGAAAGCTTGTGTCCCAAACATGCACAGTGCAGAGACTGAAATGGATAAAAACGCAAAGAATCATCTTAGCAGTCTTATGTGTTAATGCAAAAATGCAGCATATGGAAAAAATGTATGGTTCAACCCTGTTCTTTATATCACGTTTTTCAACCTGCCTCTGAGGAGTTCTGTTTTGCTCAGTTACTCTTTTTGGGTCAGTGATTGATGAGAAATGTACATGCTGACAGCCAGTAAGGCAGGCTCTACCAGCTCTCAGTCCATTAGGTGTGTTTCTGGAGTCCAGCTGTGGTGGGAGAATTAAAATGGAAATATTTTAGCCCACTTCTCAGCAGCTGCTAAAAACGCTGGAAGATGGGAACCCAATGGAGGAATGAATTTCGGAACTGTTTTGAAAACCTGTTTATTTTAAAGGCATCCTTATGATTCTGTGGGCCTGACTCGTGGGTTTTGAGTGTCTGACGTTGGCAATAGCTATGTGATTGCTATCAAGGCCCTGTAACCTGGAGGCTGGTGAGAAAAAGCCTGAATATTTTTGACTTTACAAACATCACCCTTGACAGGTGGCTCTTTTGTTGAATATCCATTAAGGATCTCAGCTACCTTTAGGGTATATTAGGCCCATTACCTTCCCACAGTGAGAGGTGGCTGTTGCAATCATGTAAACTCACCGAGTTTTGCTGTTCTCCTAAATCTCCCTATAAAGCCTGCCTGTCTATTTTAATTGGCACCTGTCATATCCTCCAACTGACTTCAGGGTCTTCGGGTTGCCATACAGTTTTATGTTTGAGTCCCACTGTTTGACTGTCTGAAGACTCTAAATAACATGGTATTAAAATACTCATCTTACTTACAAGCTTTTAAAGCAATTGCCAGGGTGTATTGATTATGTTTGTTATTTCTTGCAGCATTACTGTCACACGATGGCCACCTAGCCAGGTTACAGAAGCTGGATTTGAGTTACAATAACACCATCTCTGATGAAGGGTGGATGATTTTCTGTCAAGGCTTAACAGTATTCAAAGAACTCTCAGAGCTGGATGTCAGTCTTCGTCCATCATCCTGCCGTGTCTGTGGGAAGTGGTTCAGTGAGTTGTTAGCAGCACTGACAAAGCTGCCTGCATTGGCAGAGCTGGGCATGCAAAGATGGGTCCTTTCAGAATCGCAGCGTAAACAGCTGGAAGGCTTTAATCGAGACCACAAAAGAAACATTCGTTTTGACTGTTGATGGAGGTTGGAGGTTTCTGGAAAGCCTTTCACAAGCAACGTATGAACTAAGTATTGTGTGTCTCTCACTTAGAAAACTGCTTGAAATAGTTCCAAATTTATATAAAAAACAGTTATTCAACTTCCTACACACGTGGATTACTCCCCTCGATAACATATTCTTTCAGATTCTCTGGGCCATGCTTACTCTGCTATTGTGACACTACTGAATGTGCTTAAGTTGTGAATACTGCAATGACTGATACCAAAGGAGCAATGACAGTGTCAGATAGACACGTGGCAGGTTTGCCAGTGCAAGGAAATGAGTGGAGTATGCACTAATGCAGATGGATGGGCAGTGTAATTACACATACCAGGAAGATGTTTCTAATGCAAAAATATCTGAAACTCTGTGTTTTAGAATTTTGTTCCCCCTCCCCCATACATTTTAATTTTTGTGAATGCATTAAAGCTACATAATTGTGAGATTTGGAAAGCATCCCAGCAGCTCAGGAGTATATGTCAGTCCAGTAGGAAGAAAACAGCAGGAGTTGTTCTGCCTCTGCTATGGCTCTCAGTGCCATCTGATAGCATAGATGAATCCTGCATACAGAATCAGCATAAAATCAAGGTAAGAAACATTTGGTTTGGTGTCTTTGCAAGCCTCAGGCAAGGGAAATACTGCAGTGGGGTAGATCAGGAAAGTCCTGCTATCTTAGCAACAATCTGAATCTTTCTGCATTCAAGACTAATCCGTTAGCTTTTAAAACACTTTGTGGCATAAGCTGTTCTTATTCTTATCCTAAATGTGGAGGAAATCTATCCAGGGGAGCAAAAGCTGTTATTAAAAGCCGCAGGGCAGCTTCTAGCTAGAAGCAGACCACCCTGCTTTGCACCCAAAATGTTAGAAAATGTATTGGGTCATATAAGTGGCTCTTCTTTTTACATTTGATGATTTCTTATTTGGTGTTTTATTGGATTTGCTTGCACAGAACCATATTCTGGCATACTCGTTTATGTCATGGAACATCTTAACCCACATGTGAGCTCAGAGACTGCACTGGGATTATTCATCCGTAAGGTATTTTAGGAAGTAAAGATATTAGATCTGCCCACTGAGTGAGGAGTCTTAGAGAAATCCTGAGGGATAAAGTACTGCTCAATTAGCCCTGAGTTTGTCTTCACTCTACAGCAGTCTCCTGGATGTGAGGCACAAGAGAATCATCAGCTGGCACTTTGCTTGCTTGCCCAGATCCCTTCAGCATGTTATCCCATAGAGGTGCAGAACGATACTCAGCCTTCAATCTGGGTGACACCTCTAACACAACTTCTGACTGGTTCTGAGTTTATCAGTAGCAGCTAACCACGTTGTGCTGGTGCCTCTCCATTGTTTAATCCATGATTTCATGAGGGTCTCCCCGGGCTTCCTGGTTTCAGCTTCAGTTCCACTGAAAAGTGCACTTGGATCCCACAAGCTCTGAGGAAAGCGAGATCAACCAGAGTGTCGTGGTCAGAGGTAGCAGTGAACTGCTGCAAAGTGGGATTGGTTATTTTGTGCAGATTTCTTCAACCCCTGAAGAGAAGCAAAGAGCCCCTGTTTCGTACAGAGCTAACAAAGGAGCCTTTCAAACTGTTATTCAAGGCAGGAGAGTTATTTTAATGTGGAAACACTATCACCTCTGTTTCACAGCAGCTCACCAACCTTCTCTTTCAATCACTTGTCTTAATGGGACTTTCCTTCTCCAATTTGCCTTTGCAATTCCATCCATCAAAATCCATCTGGAGAAATGATCCTTTGTCTGTTTAATGGGAATCTCTGTGAATCACTCCTCTCTCACTTGAACCTCTCTAATTCAGACTGAGGTGGACTTCACTCTCTTGGGCTGCTCTTTCTCATTTCCAGGGCACAGTAAGGATGTACTGTTTGCAATTTCTTCACTTGCTTTTTTATTTTCCCTTCCCAGTCCTTTGCCCACTCATGAATCTGTCATGCCTGTTCTGCCACAAAAGTCTTTTACTAAATCATTTTGATTATCCTGTCTGTCAGTCTTCCCAGAAGTGCCCCTTCCAACGTTTTCCTCCTCAGTTGCCTCTGCTGTCAAAGCAACACCAGTTTCCTAGTGAGATGGAAAACCAAAACTGAGCAATCCCACCTTTCTGCACTTAATAGTCCCCAGTTCTCTCCTACCAAGAAGCTTATTAGTGAGACTTCTGTGACAACAGACTCAAGAGCCAAACAGAAATAAGACCCTCGACCTGGATGCAGATGTGGCTCAGAAGAACATGACCTGGAGGTGGAGCTCTTGGGAGAGCTGAATCTCAGTGAGCCTGCCTTCGCCTCCTTCCTCAGGGTGCCACCAGCTCCTCATTCTCTGGTAGAGCTCAGGCATGGGCAGGGAGAGCAGGTCTGAAGTTCTGCCAGTTTAAGTAGAGAGACCTTCTCCCTTGTGCATTTTGACTCTGCACAGCAGCTTGCCTAGTTTAGCTCTGTGCTTTGGGAGCATTGTGACCGTGTTCTTACATGGATCCAGAGCCATTGTGAAATGCTGCATTTTGCACACTCGCAGTTTTCAAGTAAACCTGTTGTACACAGGCATCTTACAAACTGTAAGCTTGTAAGAGTAAGAGATGGGCTGTAGCACTAAGGATTTGACAGCTTGTAGTCATTCACAACACTGCAACTACAGATTGTCAAAACGTTAGGGAACGTTTTTGCAGAAGATGGAGATACTTGGAGGTACTTTGAAACAGCTCTTCACACTCCTGTAAGGCAGAAGTGTTGTGCAGATCGTGGCAGGTGTGGGTATGTTCTGACTGCTGGGAATCTTCCTCCATGTTTCCAAACAAGGTTTTGTTTATAAACATGAAAGACAGTAAATAAGTGCCAGTATGTATAAGGCTACAGGTATGGTTTATAGTCTAGATATGGACAAACCTCACCAACTGGAAAACAACTTTCTAAGGATTACATGTAAAATACTTGGAATTCATAACAACAAACAGTTCATTGCACTAGATTCCTACAGATTAGATTAATTTCCAGTTAATCATCTGCCTCTGTGCTTCAAGATAACATCCATTCAGGATGAGAAATCCCAGACTGTTTCAGGATCTGCCTTATTCAGCTGAAGTAGCTGAAAGTTCAGAAACAGCCCTGAAAAAATCGCCAGTTTTCATTAGAATATCCACTGATGCGAATGCTTTAATGCTGTCTGTTTTGTACTCACTTCTCTCTTGCAGCTGACAGGGTTCTGTTCAGCTTACTGCACAAGAATCACTTTTTGGCTTTTGCTTCTTTTCCAGACTTCTGTTTTTCTTTTCCTTTCTTTTCCTTTTTTTGGTCTGCCATGCTTTTAAATGCCAAGAAAGGTCTGATCCCCTTCTTTGTAATCAGCCCATGCCAAATATTTCGGATCTGAGAGAGAACATAGTCTGGTTACCTTGAGGAAATGGATAAAAGCCAGGCACGTTATGGCCTCCAAAACAACTCTGCATTAGAGTACATTGTTTGCAGCTTGTCCACTTGCCACCTGACTTTTCTTTTATCGTGTGTTAGCTTTTCAAGAGGAATTCCTTATCAGGGAGGAGACCAACGCTGTCATCCTCCAGATCCTCTGAGGAGTAAATGGCAATGGCCTCACATTTTTAAATGCCACCACTAAGTTTGGAAGAATAGTCTGGGAGAAACACATTAATTCATGAAGAAATAGCAGACACTGCAGGAGAGGGAGATTTTTAGTTTCAGAAGAATCAAGGACTGTTTGCCTTTCTTTCCTTGCCTCGTTTTTTTCTGAGCTAATTCAGTTCACGTTCTATTAGTGATGCAGACTGATCTTTTGGGAAAACAAAACAAAACAACGACAGCAGAATGTGATAACAAAATATGTTTTGTTCAGTGTGTCTGCACGCTAGAACTTCAATTCTCTACAGTCAGAACACAGCAAGGTGCCAGTTAGATTCATCTTCAAGCAGTGCCCAGACTTGTTGGACCTACTTTGAGTTTAGGCACAGTGACTATGCCCCTATCACTGGACGAAGCTGGTGGCTGATGTGTTGCAGAGTGCCCTGTAGGTTGTTCTAAAGCATCTCTGATCACTAAAAGCACTGCTTTGTTGCATACATACGTACATCGTGGTTGCTTTAAAACACCTACCTTTGAAGCCTTGGCTTTTTTATGTCTTTTTTGCCATAAGTACTGCAGAATAGCAGATGTCCCCTGACTGCACACTTCAATGGGAGGGTCTGTCATAGGGTTCCCATCCACAAGGACCTCCTGCAGCTGCTTCAGGCTGTTCAAATGCTCAGGCAGCCTGGACAGCTGATTGTTCTGAAGGAGCAGTTTCTGCAAACCTGAGCACACAAAAGCAGACAGCTGCAATACGAAGGACAGGAATGATGCAAAGCACCCCTGCATTCTCCCTGTAGAACAGCATATGGAGGAGGCATAAACAATTCAGTCTGTGCTTATTAGGAGTTTGAGTACTAAACATCCCATCAAGGGCGCTGGATAAAATTCAGAGTACCTCTCCCAAGTGTGGAGGGATGGGACTCAGTCTCTCCTAGCAAGGCACATCTTTATAGTTGAAGACTTCCAGTCTGGTTGCCAAATCTGCTATACTGTGCATGACAGCACTGTTGAGCTTGCCATACATAGAGATGTATTGGAGAACAGGGGAAGATAGAAAGACTGAACTGGAGGACAGAAAGCATGTTCCTCATCACTGCCCGCCAGGTCTTCTCCTGCCAGTGGTGTGCTGGGAGCTGAGCCCCAGGAATCTCCCCAGTCCTCTGAGCTTGGGCACAGCATTTCCTTCACCCTCTCGCCTCATGACTTCTCTCCTATTTGTCCCTTACTGATTGCTGGGCCAGCACCAAACAGTGTTCTGCCTTCTTTCTCTCCCTCCTTCGGAAGAATTAGGTCCGTAGGGCTAACACAAAGATGATTTCTCACCTTGCATTTGGCCTAGAGACTCAGGGAGCTTCTTAAGGAGATTGTTGTGACAGTCGAGTATTCTCAAGCGGGTCAGTAAGCCAACAGCTGGGGGCAGGTGCTCCAGACAATTATTCTCCAAATGCAGTTCTTTCAGATTCTGGAAAATATGTGTGCGTAATAACTTTTTATAATTAAAGGATTTTTCTTTAGCTGGTTATATTATCAATGTACGGATAATATCAGCAAGTGGAGAAATTAGCTTTAAAAGCTGAGGCATCGTTGGGATAACCGCCTGATAGAAAGAGACAACCTAAGTTTTAAACACTGACTATTGATGTTCTTCCTGTTCTGTCAGACCTGGCCTGATGCTGCACCAGCCCTAAAAAAATAAGGAGAACCTCCAGTTCTGCATTTGGGAGCAGCTGAAGGGCCAAGCCACAGTACACACTCAGCCCCCACCTCCTCCTGTTGTCCCTACCTGCAGTTTGATGATATCTTCTGGCAGACTCGTCAGTTTAACTCCTTTATTTTGTCCCAGATATAATTTCTCTAATGACTCCACAAGAAAGATTTCCATTGGAAAGTTGTTGAATTGATTTTTGGACAGGCTGAGGCATTTTAAATTTGTCAGTTCTTGTATTTCTGCTGGTATCTGGACACAATCATTAAAGATACATTATGTCAATTAAACAGTAATCGTAGGGATTTGTCTTTAGGGAAAAATCTCTAGGAAAAGCTATGGAGCTTCACTGTTAGTGATGGATGAGCAGAGAATGTTCTACTCATTAATATAACATTATATCTCACAGTGTGGTGGAAAGGTGGGGGGAAAAATCACATTGTTTCCTCTGCTGGAAAGATTTCTTATGTGGTTTATTCTTAGCAGAAGTGTTTGTCTGCTTCTTCACTTCTGTTATAAGCTCAGTGCAGGGGAGAGTCATTGAAATGAATCAAACCTGAAAGAGATTCTTCTGTGTGAATTACTGCTTGTCTAAAGGGAACCTTCACAGAGAAAATCACACAAATGAAAATCTCCTGGGAGGGGGAGAAGAGTTGCATTACTTAATAAGGGAGGTATAAGCCCTCAAATGAGTATGTCATACTTTAATGTACTTAACTGTTCATTATCAAGTAATTAGCAGATAGTAATGATTTTAAAGGCATTCACAATATGTCATCTATTTTAATGTCGCCCTCTGCTCTGTTTCAGTTTTTGATGCATTGGTTCTACAGAAATGCAGCTCTTATTTTTCAGCTTACAAAAAGAAAGATGATGAAATAAAGCAGCCAACTCTGACAGCAGTTCCTCCAGTCAGTATTCATCTGTATGATTCAGCACAAAAGTAAGTGTCTCCATGCTCTTGCTTTCCCTCTCTGTCTCAGCTGTCAGTGTCAGTGTTACCCAGGCTCAGTGCATGCCAGGAGTGCATCTTCATACTTGAGCAGAAGGCAGCTCTTGGTTGTAATGTAAGACTTTGCAAAAGGAAGGTCTCAGTGAAGTAAGAACGAAAAGATAGGAACAAATACCTCCTGTATTTGATTGTCATCCAGGTTCAATATCTCCAGGTTTTTCATGGAGCATATTCCTTTGGGAATTTCATCTAAGCAGTTTTCACTCAGATCGAGTACCCTGACGCTGGTTAGACTGGTGCAGGACAGGTGAACTCTGTGCAGCCCGGTGTTCCTCAGATAAACATGGGTAAGTGATGTCCAAGAGCATGTCTGGGCTGGCAGCTCCTCCAAGCTGTTATCAGACAGGCTGAGTTCACTCTTTTCAGTGAGATTGTTCCAAAATGGGGGAAGCTTGTGCAGGGGATTATGAGACAGATCCAGCACCGCCAGCTTCTGGCAGTGTTGCAGCGTGGGAGGAATGGAAGATAAGTTATTAAAAGCTAAAAATAGCTTAACTAAGTTTGTTAGAGAGCCTATCTCTTCTGGGATGTGACTGATGAGATTTTGTTCCAGATCTATTATTTCTAAACTAACAATTTTACAAAGCTCGATGGGAAATTTTTCAAATCTATTGTTTTTGAGGTAAATTTCCTTGAGTTTTTTCAGGTTCACTGTTTCTTTTGGCAGACACTGTAGATGATTGTCAGAAAGCCCAAGAAGTTCAATGAGATGGAGGTATTTGCAGATCTGCACTGGGATTTCATGCAAGTTTATTTGATAGAGCCTGAGCTGGTGAAGGGACTGCAGGTTGCTGATTACCTGCAGAGAGCTGTAAGAGAGGGGGTTGTTACTTAAATCTAAGCTCAGAATACTTTTCAACATCCCCAGCTCTTCACATATTTCCCGTATGTGGTTGTGATCCAAGTAGAGAACCTTCATGTTCTTCAGGAGTTTTATTTCTCTCGGGATGTTCACTATCAGGTTCTTCTCCATGTGCAGCTCTTCCAGATGCTCTAGACTGAAGACCTCAGGTGGGATGATTTGCAGCTGCTTATTGGCTAAATCAATAAAAAAAATCCTATCTGTGGCGTGCTTGGGAATCAGAGCTTCATTCTCTGGTACTTCATTCATTGGTTTTTCTTGTGCAGTGGTAACGTGATTATCCTCAAAGCCAGTGGGGTCATGTTTAGGGTGATGAGTGTCCTTTGCACTGAGCTCCATGCTGTGCTGAGACTCAGCCATCTGTAATTCTTATTTTTATATTTCAGAAGAGAAAAAAAAAATAAAAATAAAAATCAACAGTAGTCAAACACTAAATAAATAGTGAAAGAAGTTAAGACTGAGGGACAGGTCCTACCTACTGTCAGTTGTACCCCTGCAAAAGCCGCTTACATTCCTTGATGTCGACATCTGCAATACGTACAAGTGTGACTGTGACTTTGAATCCAGAACCCCAAAATGCCAAATCAGAGGGTGGCCTTTGTGAAGTCAGTGGGGCTGAACGAAACAACCTCCGTGGGTCTTCATTTGCAAAGATTCTTAGGAAAGGGTTCTTCTATAACAGGGAGATACCAGAACCTGATATTCAATAGCCCTTTAATTGCAGAATGTGGACTGTAAAAGAGTGAGAGATGGAAAGGCCTGGCTGACCTCTGCTGTCTCTGGGAGTGAATGGTGGTAGCTTTGGGCTGACAGTGGAGGGAGTGGGGGCTGCAGTCAGGAGGAAGCTGCCAACCCCTGGGACCTCAGGGGTGACCAGAATGAGGGGAAAGAACCAAAGGTCAGGAAGGTGTGGGGAGAGCCATGCTAAGCTTTGTGGTCTCATTGGAGCCTTGTACAGCAGCGTTTCTTTTTTGTTCTTTCAGCGGTAAGGAGTGAGCATCCTGTGGGGCGATGGGAGCGTGTGATCCCAGCTCAGCCTTGGGTCATGTGGGAGTTAGGGGGAGGATCTGAGTGGAAAGTGCACTTCTGAAGCACACAACCCTGTAAACACACTGATTTGTGCCAAAGCTCCTTGGAGGGTGTGGGCAGAGCACTCAGTAAACAGTGCAAGGATAAGTGAGGCTGGTGTTAGCATGGAAGTGTGATGCCCTGCCCAGCACCAGGCCTCCCCTCCGAGGTGGGCAGCAGAGTGGCTCCTGATCTCTTGGGCGCCCAGACCCTGCGTTGGACATCAGCTGTGTGGTAATGGGCTCAGCTCAGCAGTGTGGATGTATGTGGGGAGGGCATGGAGGAGTCGGGCTCTCTGGCGGTCTCATGTTGGCTGGTAAGCTCAGACACGGCTGCCTCAGGCAGAGCAGGGCAGGAGGGCAGTTTGCTGGGGGTCTTGCAGCACTCTGTGAGGCTGGGATTTGTCCCGAAGCTTCTTGCTGGGGCTTTCTCAAATAGCAGCATCACACACAGAACCGACTTTCATCACAGACTGCAGGACGCTGCCCTTTTTACAAAAGGGAAAGAGACCTGTCTTTATGAACATTACTTCTAGTTGTTCATATTCTCTGTGATGCCACATCAGGGCCACGTTTTTTCCTTCTTTTTTCCATCTGTATGTCCATAATTCAGTTATTCTGATAACTACAATTCTTTTCATAGCAGGACCCATTTTTACTGTTGCACACCCCCTGGCACAACAGAACTGGGTCCATGGCAACGTTGTTAGGCTGCCATGGCGATGCAGTAACTGTTTGCTTTGTTTTCAGGCACGTCATGTCTGTTCCTCCAGATCTTCATCAGCAGTATTTGCAGACTTGCCAAAACCTGAGCCAACCTGAAAATCACTTTGTTGCTCGTGTGCTTCAAGAAGCTGATAAAAGTGATAATATGTAAGAAAAGAACAATCAGCATGTTTCAGATACTTCTGAACTCCTTAAACAAGATGGTAGGACAAGAATTGGAGCAGTGGGAAAGTTTGTGGAGTTTCAGGCTTGAACACAAATTGCACTTAACATTTACTGCAGAAGTTCTGGTTTGACTCATCCTGACATCATCTTGGCAAGTCTGTAACTGTATATCCCTCCTGGGCAGCTTTACAAGCAATAAAATCAAAAAAGTGAAAAATGGGAAGAATGGTAACTTTACATCCCTTAGAGAAGCCCAACTCACTATTCAGCCATCCTAACTCCCTTCCTGATTTCTCGCTCCCGTTTAAAAAGGCTCAGCTGCATCCAGTTAGCTTCCAGCTGATAGTGCTTTCCTGAACTGTCTGTGAGTCCTGGCAAGGTGCTGACCACAAAAATTGCTTCTCCTTTTGTGATCAGATAGACCTTTCTCTCAGGGATGCACCTGGGGTTGGAGTTGATTGTCTTTTGGAGAGAGAACACAGGAGAAGACAAGGTTGGGCAGTAGTTTGGGTTAGCTGTTCTGCCTTTGGGGCAGGATAGAACAGGTAAAGGAAAGAAGGAACAGATGAGGTTACCTCGGGATAGTCTTCTTTATTTTCATCTCTGCTTTTCTTGTCTTTCTGCTTCCTGCTCTCTGTGCACTTGTGGTCGTGTAGCTGTGCAGTATCTTCAGAGTAACAAGATGGATAACTGACCACATGCAGGCACACCGGGGAGGGTGAATAGGAATGCATCTCTTAACCTGAAGAAAGAATTCTTTTTACTAATATTTTCTTTCTTATGTGGTTACACTTTTCTGTTACAGCAGACAGACAAAAGGGATCACGTTAAAAATAGCTGGAAATAATCACTTAGTGCCTGTGCAGAGAGTGACAGATGGAGATGTTCAAGTTCTTGCCTCTGTCTTACGCCGTGCTGTATTTGTCACTGGTAAGTATCCTTACATGTCTGATGTCAGTGCTCATATTGTGCTGGTTTATCACCAGGCAGCAAATATCACACACAAAAAAATAGAAGAAATATAAAAGAAAACACAAGCAATCTCCATTTCAGTTTAGCTCATCTTTATTTCTTTTTGTTTACAGATAAGTTAAATGTAGGTATGCACCTCTTGCATTATTCTCAATCTTTTTCAGGTTTGGATCTGAGATATAATGATTTGACTGATGTTGGAGTAAGGCACGTGGCAACGTTCCTCCAGGTGCCAAAATGTTTCTATTACAGAAGTGTGGTTTATTTGGCTATGGTAATATTTCTGTGGTGTATTGGAGACCAAGACTGTATTGGTTTGGCAGAATACCATTAATTTGACTTTTGCAACCAAATCTCTCCTGTTAGGATCTCAGATTGTGGTCTTTGAATTTCTGATAGTATAAGATGTATTAGTATGTCTGAAAAAAGAGCAAGACAGTAAGCCAGGAGTTTTTAAGCTAACATTCAGTTCAATGAAGGATGTAATGGTAGCGTGGATTGTGCCAGGGCCTTTGTTTTATGTATTTTATCCCTTCTCAGCCTTTCTGTGAGTCTAAACTTACTAAACTTTAATGCTGCCTTTTTACAATTGTAAGCACTGGCACGTGGATCAAAAACAGTGACTGTAAATTCAGCATCTGTGCATTCACAAAATACCTGCAGGTCTGTATCTGAGCTTCACCTGCCTGGTTTGATCCCCTGGGCTCCTAGGTGGCTCTCATAGGACTGTGAGGATTTACTCATCTGATGTACTTGAGCATTCTTTATTTTCCACATCAGGGGCTGCCTGTAATGTGGTGCAGGACAGAGGTTGTAAGTGCATGTATAGCATGTCTCCTTTTTGAAAAGTGCAGGGTGCAATAGAAGCAATTCTCATTGCTTTCTGCTTTATTTCTTCTGAAGGAAAACTCAACTCTGCGATACCTTAACCTGATGTTTAACGATATTGGCACGAGTGGAGCTGAGCTGATAGCAAATGCTCTCCATGTGAGTATTCATCTAGGAGATTTAGACAGTGGCATCTTGCTTGATATTTTCTGCTTCTGATGAGCAGCACGAGCTGTCCTGCCAACATAAAGCTGGCTGAAAGAGCCCTCTGTCCTCTGCTGCTCAGCTCTTTGCTGTAACACAGCGACTGCTTGTTTTCCCAAGGCAGACTTCAGAAATCAGATTTCACACAAGAGAAAGTAGCCCTGTGCTGCCGTTAGTACTTAATTATCACAACTGTGTGATAATTTTCTGTGTGAAAAGCGTTGTTGTGCTGTAGGGTGTAGAATGTCATCAAGGTTTTCCTTGGGTTATGAGTTTTTAGAATTGGGTGTGAAATTTGCCTGTACCTTAATGTCAACAAATGTCTTGATTCTAGATGCCTGAGATGGGTTTTCAAAGCTTTGCCTCACAGCAGCATGAAAATGTCTGTTATTTTTAACATGGTTTCCCAAGGAAACGAGGCTAGCATGTAAGGTTTGTTTTGTCTATGAAGTGAGACTCATGTGGGCTCTTCCTTCCTTCTTCGTGGTCTTTGAACTAATCTTCTAATCTCAACTAAATTTGAGAGGCCTGGAATGCTGAGACTGTGTGATAGGACTGTGCATTGCCAGTTAATGCAGAAATACCTGCCTGGGTTGTTTTCAGCTGCTTAGTGCTATCTCTTGGGCACAGTTTTTCTGGAGGGACCTTTTGTCTGTGTGTGACAATGAGCAGGATCCACAGGAAAAAGGACAGTGATATTTTTATTAAGAGAATTGAAAGAAAATGATTTTACCTTTTTCTTTTGATTTTGTTCCAGAGCAATGAAACTCTTCTGCATTTGAGATTGACTGGAAACAAAATAGGCAATAAGGGTGGAATGTACTTTGCTTCAATGCTACAAGTTAATTGCACCTTAGAGAAGTTAGATCTTGGAGACTGTGATGTGGTGAGTGAATCAGTAGAATCATCAGCAATGAAATAATTATTTCAGGAGTATCACAAAGGTGCTGCAGTGCTTGATTATGAGAAAATGTCATCTGTTGCCATTGGTTTTGCATTTTATGATGGCTGGAGGTAACACATTACATAAAATTGTAGTGTGTGCTTGGAAAGGCATGTTGTATAAAACACTGAGGTCATAACCAGTGATACATTGCAGCCACTGCCCTTGGGAATTCAGGTGCTTGGCTTTCATGTGCTCCAGCATTGTTTCTTCTGTTCCCATTATTTATGTGTGTATATATATATACACATATATTTTTAAGTGACTATATGAAATATATAGTAAATATATGTATATTTGTGTGTGCATGCAAATCCTGTCTGAGTGATGCTGCAGAAAGGTGGTGTTCTCCTTCTGAAGTGTGCAGTACTATGAAACTTGCAAGTTATCCTCCTCACCGTTCTGTTGCTCATGTTGGAGCTCAGCTCGTTGATGCCATAGGTGTGGCAGTGCTGAGCTGAGCAGAAAGGCCCCCAGCTCGATTTGAGATAACTTGCTGCCTCCTGGAGTTGAGTGCTGGCAGTCCCCTGAACTTCAAGGGGAAATAGAGAATAGAAACTGGCACAAGGAGTAAATTTGACTGTAACATAACAGCTGTGACTGTCGCCTGGAGGCAGGGAGAGATCTGGGGGTCAGATGAAGATGTTATTATATAATATTTGTTTTGTGGAATTACAGAACTTTCTCCCAAACTGGAAGGGGGAAATACCTTCCAGAAACTGGGGAGGATGTTACCAGTACATGAACAAGGGAAGTGTTGCCCAAGAGTAACTTACCTGGATGCTTCATCTCTGTATGATTGGTAGAGAGTTAACAGTTCTGTTTTAAAATGAAATGTCTTTCAATGTAGACAAGGCTAATCAGAAAAAAACATAAACAAAAGTTAGTGAGCAAAATGAGGAAATTGAGAAATCCCAAACTGGCCTGAATTCTAGGCTGACTGTTCTGTACCATGTTAATTCACATGTAGTGTGCATTTACCTAGTGGAGAAGTGTTAGATGAGACTTGTACTGAAGATTGCAGGGAACACTCCCAAGTTGATTTTTCTTCTCAAATCAGGAAAACCAAAGTAAGGATCAATGAAACGGACAAGTATCTCTTGGAGATCCATCACATTTGCTTTCTTTTTTTTTTCTGAGTTGCTGGATTTTCTAGCTGTTTGTAGTTCTTAGTCTCATTGCACTGCTGTTCTACAAGAAATTTGCATTGGTGCCAGCAGGCACTTGCTGGCTGCACTTGTATTTCTCCAAGGTACAGGAGGCAGAAGTAATACTGTTTCCAGCCAGAGCCTGCCTAGTGGTTCTGATCTTCTGACAATCCATTCCAAGAAGTCATGGTAATACGAGAGCTTGACCTGTTCACCGGACAGGTTTATCTACAAGACTTGTCTGTTTTCATTTGCAGGGTACACAGTGTCTAATAGCAATAGCATCAGTCCTGACTCAGAACAAAGCAGTCAAAGCAATAAACCTCAATCGTCCATTGCTGTACAGCCAGGAGGTAAGGAAATAGACTGCAGTGCCAGCTCAGGCAAAGAGAGGAGCACAAGCAAAGTCACTACTGATAAGTTTATGGACATCTGGGCTACTCTGGGTTTTCTTGAAGTGATAATTGGTTGTGGGAATACTTTATTTTTTTCCTGATCCCAAGTTTTATGCAGCCTCGGGCTGCCCTTGTTTAACTGGAAAGTTAATTTTGTTTTATTTTTCTTGGTAGGTATGCATTTATGAAGCAGTGGGCAAAGGGAGATGGCTGGGTATTACTGAACCAAATATTCATTTTGCTGCCAGCGCTTTGGAGAGTTTTGTGCATCATTCAGCAAAGTGAGGGACAAAAGCTGTTTAGCAGAAACTCAGGGAAGGACAAAAGACTGCTTTTTATCTGAGCAGAGCATGGGCGATTGCCAGAGGCTGCAGCCTAAAGAAAGGCACACTTAACAATATCCCTTATTCACAGTGCCATGGTTTTGTTTCACTATGTGGACTTGTAGCTTGAATTTAACAAGTGAATGAGCCTCATCAATGTAAAACCTATGATGTGTTTTCTATCCAAAACAAAGACACAAGAGCTTCCAAAACAGTCGAGCACTGAAGAGAGATCAGTGAGGCAGTGTTTGCTGTAGGCAGCACCCTGGCACTGGGTATGTACATGCACCAGAGCTTCTGCCTTGCAGGCATGCAGCTCCTGTGCCTCGTTGCTCCTGCTGTTTCACCAGCGTCAGCAGTTTTCAGGTGCATATTCTATTTTCCCAATTGCATGATAATACAATAAATTGTTGTGAAATTTAAAGTAGATCTTCCCATATCCCAGAGATGTTTTCAACAGTTCAAACAGCTGAGAGCTTCTTCTCTACTGAGACAGGGGTCTGATCTACCTATCTGCAGTTTTACAAGGCCATTTACATCACTGGTATTGAAAATAAGGGCCTAGGCTGTATCTGGGGGAAACTTTCTCTTTGCCATTGCTGTCATTTGCTGAGGCCTGTGGCTTATTCCATTATTGACTCAAAGATCTCATGCAGTTATTTTGTAATAAACAAAACCTCAAAGTAGATGTACAGTGTCTTATGGTGACGGCACATTTCTCTTCTTAGCAGTGTCTCTTTTCATAAAGTAAGTGGCATGACAAAATACTTCTAATGTTGGTGAAAGCTGATCCAGCTACAGTTTTGTTAAAGCAATGACTGGGAAGGAAATAAGATAAGTCATTCAAGCATTGATGCTCCTGATATTTACAGGGATGTACAGTACTGCAAATCTGCAAATACTTCTGTTATTTTTCACTTTTTTTGGTTGTAATAGTGCATCACTGCCTGGCTATTTTCAATACAAAGCTGTAACATACAAATAGACCACCACTGACAACCAGGGTTAGCTGTTGTACGTGTCTTTTACTGAAGCAAGACTACATCTTATCCTAAAGTATAGTTCAATAAAAATGAGTGTTTACTTGTAGGAAGAGACCACAGTCCACATAGCTTTGATGCTGAAAAATAATTCTTCTCTTGTGGAACTACATCTGTGCAAGCACGAAATTAAAAGATTTGGTGTAGAGCGACTGTGTGAGGCGTTGTATGAAAACTGCAGCCTGAGATACCTTGATCTTAGCTGGTAAGAGTTAGTACAGGACCTAACCCTGACTGACATTAGATGCTCATTTTCTTAGTATCTCTTTTATAAATATATATATGCATATCTCTTTTTCAGTAATAAAGTAACTCGTGAGGATGTGAAATTTTTGGGAGAACTACTGAAACAGAACCAAACTCTGGAAATCCTAGATCTTAATTCAAACCGAATAGAAGATGATGGAGCTATCTACTTGAGTGAAGCTTTGGCTTTGTACAACAGGACTCTTAAGGCGTTTGTATTTCAGTAACTTCCTCAGGGATTGCAGACAAAAAACACTCCAAATCTAAGAAACTCAGACTCTGCCGTGGCTGAACTGATGTGAAAATTGTGCTTTGACATTAGCAGTCAAAACAGAAAACACACAAAGCTCCAAACTTCTTGGTTCAGCTGAGGAAAAAAAAAGAGTGACAGTATGGAATTCATTTGCCTAGCCATAGGTGTGGGAGGGTGAGAGGGGAAGGGTGAGGGTGAAAGTTAAATTGGTTCTGCAATGGTTCTAAGCATCTTACCTGGGACTCATTTTTACATTCATTTCGAGGAGCAGGAGAGAGGCTATTAGATCTTTATTGTTCTTTATCCACCTTTAAAGCACAGGTCCCTGTGTTGCACAAGCATAAACAAACTAGGATCTGTACATCTTCAGAATTTTAAGCCAAGCAGATTCCATAGAAGGCTAAGGCTCTATATTTGTTGATTCTGATCTTCAACACTTAAGAAAATCCTCTGTTTAAGTTAGCTTCTGGGTGAACCCAAAAGAGCTGTAATCTGTCCATCAGTGTGCATTCTGTAGCACGCATTAAGCCGTGCACCAGCAGGAGGTATAAAGCTGATCAAAGGTGTTACCTGAAGCCATGAGTGTTAAGTAGCAGACTGAGGAGGTGGTGGCTGCTCGGTGCCTCTGAAAGCCTTCCAGGCTCACCAATATAAAAATAACTGCCGCACAATAAAGATCAAAGCTTAAGCTGGCCAGGCGCCAAGGCCTGGGCTTCAGAGCAGACAGAAGATGAGATGTGGCCACCACACAGTAAGCCACTGACACTGAACAACTGAACGGGGAGCAACCTGGCTGCGTGAGTCATGGCAGTGCCTTGAGACACAGTACAGTTCCAGAGTCCAACCTGCCTGTAGCAACCTGACAAATATTTTTAATAGGAATGGGCTTGATACAAATATCTTACTACATTATGACAAATAGAAGATTTCATTATACATACAGTTATAAAAAGTCTAACTGAGTAAAACCCTGAGTTTTAGCTAAGATATGGGAATGCAGTGGCTTAGCATGCTTGCGTAACTATTTTCTGTTTATTAGGTTGTCAGTAGTGAGCAACAATATAAGTGGCAAAGGGCTGGCAGCTCTCTCACAAGCAATGAAAATAAATGTGGAACTCTCCTACATTTATATTTGGGGGAACAACTTTGATGAAGCCGCCTGTACGGTGAGTACTGGACTGAAGTGACCAAGTGCTTGCCCACTGTGTTTTATCTTCTAGGCCCTTCCTTACAATCAAAGTGAAATACTGTATGGCAGCTTCTTGTTTCGTTCATTTCAGGCATTTTCAGAATTAATTCAGGCAGGCCGCTTGAAACCTGATTGCACAGATGTGGAACCGTACGAAGTGGACGGGCACGTTCACCTTGCAGAGCTCTCCCATGGCCTTAAAAAGCATTACTACTGGACACCAAGCTATGGGGAGGTGAAGAACGCTGCTGCTAATGCCAGTCTGGCAATTGCAGCTGTTTCAGAATATTTCTAAGGTAGGATCTTGGTGTGCTCACATAGTTTACCTGTCTTCTAGTACAACAGATATCAAGCACGCTGCTGGTTGTTTCTTCAGTGTCTTTACCCTGCGAGTCTAGAAATACTTCAAAATAGCATTAGAGATGAAATATCAAACCAATAAGTGTAAACTTTGTTTTTAAATAGTGGCCAATCTATTAAAAGCCTATTAATATGAAAGCATGTTTGTTTTGCTGTAGTCATTACTATTGTGCACGCATGTGCTTTGCTGTGCCATGGTTGGGTAGAGCTCCCTGGTTGCCAGGTGACAGATGAATGCATGTAAGTGATGTGCTGAGATGAGAACAACTTCCACTATGGTGTGACACACTACAAGTGACAGCAGGTATTCTTAGCAGCAATGCAGAATATAGCAGTCACTGACAAGAAGTGGTGTGAAGACTGAACATCAGTAGTGCATGAACTGAGCTTCCAGCAGCTGCACTGCTCAGCTGTATTTGGGAGCCCTTCTCAAGTCAGCAGTTACCAAGTGCTTATTTAAAGAGGATGCAGGGAGTGCATCAGAGCAGCAGCAGAGCCCATGGATCAGGTACTGTGACCATGGTGTCCTTTTCCCCTGGGCTGCTGCAGAGAAAGAGCTGCTGCTGCCCTTCCTGCAGCCAGGTTTCCCCACAGCAATTTCTACTGTCTCTCTGCGGGCTGAAGTGCAGCTAGGCAGACCGTGTTGATTAAAACAAACAGAAAGCTCAAACTTCCATTTAGGACTGCTGCTGAGCAGCAGATTTGCTTGAGAGCAAGTCAGATATGTGGTGGAACAAGATTCCTGTTAGAGTTAGGAGTCTGAGTAAGTCCATGTGTCACTACTAGGCTCTATATGCCATTACTGAGGAAAAAGAGAAAGCAAGCTTTTGTTGTTTATCCAAAAATATTTTATATTTTGTTCAACAAGTTTGATGAATTTAAGCAGTTAGCTGCAATAATGCAGGAACTTGAAGAGCGAACTCTTTACTTTTATCGGAACAGTATTTTGATTCACTTGCAGTATGTGGTTGTTATAAGGATAAATGGAATCTACTTTTGAAAATGCTAGCATGCTTTCTGAAATGTTTTTAACAACAGGGTGTTTGACCCACAGGAACGCTCTGCATTATTGACAAGAGCAGTAGAAATAGCTGGTGCTGCACCTTGCTTTGTAAGAAAGGGCAGCAGCATCACTCTTACTGAATTTTGTGTCAGTGGATGCAAGCTGAAGTAACTTGTTATGCAAAAAAAAAAGGAAAAAAAAAAAAAGGAGTATAGATTAAGGCCTATGCCAGAAACACTGCTTTCCTTTAAACTCTTAAAAGATGCATCCTTGTGTTCTTTTGAAGGAGAGAATTCACATAGCTGGGCCTTCTTGCCGTGCTATTCTAGTAGCTAAAAAAGCACAATCCTGTTCTGTAAATCATTTCTTCAGCTGCCTGAACTCAAAGCACCTTTCAGAAAGGCAGCATTTAGACCCCAGTGTAAAGGGAAGGAAAATGACTGATCCAGCAGGCCAGTGGTACAGTGCAGGTCCACAAAGCCCTGCTGAGTGCTCTGGCCTTTATACCACCTTCTGTCAGTTGAACTATTCAGTAAAAATAAGGTAGGCAAAATACAAATTTGGAGTTGAGTGACTATCATCTTCAGCAGAAACAGTGAACTTTCAAAGCAGTCTAAGTAAACAAACAAAACCAAACCTCCAATCCTCAAACCTTACCAGCAGGAAAATAAAAGTACTAACATAAGAGTGTTTATATTAAACTGCATCTAGAAACAAAGTGTTTAATTTCGTTGAACTGATCCAAAATATCTTTTATCAGGCAAATCAGGTGTTTCTTACTGCCAAGGAAGTGTGGTAAACCTTGTTGCATGCAGTGTCCTGCAGTGTGTGCTGTCCTGTGCTTCCTGACAGGGTGCTGTGGTGGTGATGTTAGACTGCTTCCCTCCTCCTTTTGTTGTTACCCCTTGCAGTTCTAAACAGCAGACACGAGGTGAGGGAAAAGTACAAAACAAGTTTATTAAAGTCTAACATAAAACACTTCAGGCTAAATATGTACAACTCCCTGCCCAGGAGATTATAAAATTGAGAGTTGAGCTATATACAAATAACAGAGGAAAGGCTGTATATACATGAAAGATACTTCAAAAATAATTTAACCCAAAAATCAGTCATTAACCTTAACTCTGCTGCAAGGCTTATCGACATCCTCTCCGAAATCACAGCCCTGAAATCCTAGATGAGGGATTTGTCTGTACTTGGCAACTTTTCTTAAGCCATATGTTTCAAGAAAACTTTCATGCTGTGCCTACAGATAGGCACCAATTCAGATAAATGCCACACAAGGAGTGATTCTAACATAAGTATTTGAAACGGCCGATTCAGACATTTATAGTTGCAAATAATCTGTTCAGGTAGAACTGAAATGCTACTGAAACAATGATGTTTCTCGGATAAATTAAGTCATTTTCTGTAAATTACCAATGATGGACTGAAATTCTCTTTCATTTTGCAGGTAGGTCTCAAGAATGAGAAGAATCCCTACAAAAATTCCAAGTTTCCCCCATTCATCTCTGAAGGAACTTACCAATATCGTTAATCACCACGTACCTCCAAAATGAACTCCTTAAGCCTAAGAATGAATGTGCAGCTGACTTCCATGCATCTATGGGCACAAGGTACCGTACAGAGCTGCTTCTTCAGGCCCTGGAGCACCCAGCCTGAACACTCCTACAAATTCAATATATATCTCTTTCTATATATATTTAAAATCTATATTCTATTAAATGAATACCGTTGATAGAGATCATACCTCAGCAGCTGAGATATCTGCACAAAAGATGAGGGTAAGAATCGAGGTTCTCAGATGAGGACTGAAGAGTGCAGTTCACTAAATTATTGCTCTAAGTCAAAATTACGACCTGTGTATTCTACTAAGAAAGGCTAAAAGTGTTGTTTTGTAAAAAATAATGATTATTTTCTTGTCTATAAAGAAAACTAAATGACTACGAAAGAAAGTGGTACTGTTATAAGCATCTAAACAAATCCTGTATAAATCTAAGTACTGTTTTAAAAAGCCTGAAAATCTAAGAATACAGCAATAGCTATTATTGTAGAAATATAAAAACAGTCCAAACAAACACTGTTATGGAATGCATTTTCTAAGTAGGAATGTAGTTACTTCTTCCTAGAGCAAAACAGCTCTTGTCCTTTATTCTGAATTTTACATTAATCCTCAGATAACAATAGTGTATCATTAGTTTATCTTCCAGAGTTGGTTAAACATGAAATTTATCGAGCATACAGTGCTGCACTTTGTCAATACTCATGGCTAAGTCTATGCCTATGCCAAGACTCTTCCTCTGTTTTCAGAAAGTGAAAGTAAAGAGGAATCTTAGAGCAAGGTACAGCGTTCACTTTGTTAAATGGAGTCAGGATTCTGCTCTTTGTGGTTCTTGAATGCTAGTTGGCTACAGAATCATTCAGCTCCTAATCAACAACAGCAACTTGGAAGAAGAAAAAGCCATGGGAGAAGCAGTAGTAGGGAACTGCCAAACAAAATCTGAGAACTTCATCTATTGCCCTGTGCCAGCCTTATGAAGGGCATCAGCTGTACGTAAATGGTGCAGGATGGATAAGCAAAGAAATTAAATGTCAAGAAGTATGGCAGTAATTAGCAAACAAAGTGAAAAATGCCTGCATTCAACTGTTCCTGGGCCACTCCATGCTGCCTGTGGTAGATTTTATCATTAAATTGGCCATATCTTATGACTTAAAACATGATCAAGAAGCAGAGTTCTAACCGTGCCCCATACCAAGATGACCAACACAAAGAAATGAAAGATCTGTTACTTCCCAAGTACAAATGTGGAGGAAAAAAATCTGTAGTCATGCTCAGGAGTCAAGGGACCATCTGCAGAGCATTTAAATGAAATCCTCCAAGAACTTTTTCACAAGGCTGTTTAATTAAGGGGCAGATTAATTTTTACTCCATGTAGAACACAGTTAGTTAAGAGGTATCTCCTATGCCCTTCTATTTATCAATGTCTGGACACAAGGCATCAGTGGGAATAAAATGCTAGCACCAAAGAAATAACCAACAAGTGATATCTTTAAACGTATTTGTGGCACAGTCATAAGACTGCTTCCTTACTATTTGATGATTACTTAGGTAACATTTATACCATGTTAATGGCACAAACTGGCAAAATGGAGCATAAAAAAAGGTACTCCTACTCTTAACCAGTGTCTTTAATGATCCTACAGAGAACCTAAAAATGCTTTGTTAAAAAAAAATATAAATTGCTAATAGTAAAATATACCTTTGCAAGAGTCTTGCTAGATACCAATTACAGTTACTGTGGATATGCAACACGAAAGGTAAATGAATACATAAATACTTCATTTGAAACAAATCCCTGCTTGGGAGAATGTTAATCTGCCCTGTTGTATTCTTCCTCAATGCCCCCTCAATAGCAGTCATGCAGTATTTTCACAGTGAAGGGCTGCATTTGTTTCTTCTTTTGTACCTACTGACCAGCACCACAAGAAGCACAAAAATGATCATTATGAAGCTATGGATCACACATCACAGTTCAGTCAATGCATCTTTTCACCTCATCTACAACACCCATGTTCTAGCTCTTCTGGTGAGCAAATGCTGCTGCTTGTGCCAAATTTGGGACATTTCAGACATATGAAAAAAAAATCTTGGACAAGTTACAACACTAGATTCACTTCAAAAACGAGTGACTTCTTGGAAAGAATACACAGTAGTACCTATGCCATTAGAACTCTCTGGGTTATCATGCTAAAGAAACTCTCCTTTACTTGCCCCATCAGGGACATAAACACAAAGCTTTCTGTCCCTCTGGTCAGACTTCAGCTGAAGATGGACTGCTTCTCACAGACAGCAGTAATTCTTTGAGAGGACCTTGACTGAGCACTGGCCTACCTGCCATCACGTACCATTACAGGACCTCAGGATGCTCTTTAGCACATTCAGATTATGACTTTCCCTTAAAAACAAACAAACAAACAGCACGTTGCCTAGGACCACATCCTAGCAGCTTTTGAAGATCCCCAAGCAAGGGGACTCCAGCAACCTCTCCTGGCTACCTGCTCCAGTGCTCAGGTGATACTGTCACACACCAGATGGACAGAAACATAACAGGAGATCTCCAAAATGCATTAGAGTATTTAACAGAGAATACTTAAGGCAGGCATTGCTGGAAAACACGTAACTCCTGGAAGTGTTAATTGCAAACAGAAGGTTGATTGTACATTAGCACAATGCAACAGTGACAAAAAAAAACCAAAAAAAAAGACAGCATAGTACAATGGAAACAGCTTACAACTGCCTTTACAGAAAGGAAAAAAAAACCCAAGAAAATTCAAGAAGTGACTGCTTGATTGATTACGTTCATCTTTACCAAAGGTATGCGAGTTCTCTGCTGGATTTCTTTGCTGGCTCTACAGTGTCAGTATAATTGCTGCAAGAAAATGAACTGAGGTTCTGAATATCCAGTCACAGCAGATCTCAGTAATGTTTCTGATGATGGGGACTGACTGCCTGCCACAGGAAGAAGCATCTGATGGTCTTCAGTACCAATGGGAAGAGGAAGCGGCAAAGACATCTCAGAGGGTTTCACATCTACAGACTCTGATAAAGGACTCTTCTGACTCTGAAGGGATTCTTGATCATTGAAAGAATTATCAAGTGTATTGCAATCAGGGGGAGTTTCAGATCCTGGCAAAAAAAAAAAATTCCCAATCATTTATTTTCCCCAGCAATTAGCATATGGAACAAGTTAGCAAATGATGCAGGAATTGTTATTAGCAAGAGCTAAGGAGGACTTGTTTCCAGAGAGCATGAGCAACTGCTATTAGAAGTCTTGCTACAGATGGCAAAACTCTACAAGAGAAAGAAGTGTCCTTACATGGAGGAATAAAAATGAACAGACAAATTTGTTGATGTTGATGACATGATGATGACTGTTGATGACAAGTCAATAGTTGATGCTGCTTCTGAACCTTTCTTTACACAAGGAACTTACCTGTGTGAACTTTTGTTTTGTGCTTCTTAAGGTTTTTTATATCTGTGTAAGAATTTCCACACAGTTCACAAATGAATGGTCTTTCACCTGAAAAAAAGTTCGACAGAATAATCTTAAAAGTGAAAGAAGACGCAGTTGCTGACACAGGATAATGGGTTTCTAAGTTGTATTTTAAAAATGCATCATCATAACTGCAAGCTGTTTTGTCTGTGCCATTATTCAGAATAAGATTGTTTCCAGAACAGTAGATTAAAACAAAAAAAGCCTCAATGCTCAAGGTAAAGCCCTTACATCAACACTTACACTGTTACATGCAGACATGTGTCTGAAATAGGCAATTAAAAAAGTCACAGACATTTTCTTTAAATTACTTTCATGCTGAAATACATACATTAAGAAATTACTACTCTTAAGTGCAACACAATATGGTATTTTTTATAGGCAAAAGGGAAGAAGTAGAATCTTATTTATTGTGCAGGAAGCAGCCTGTCTGGAAACTGACCTGTATGGGACCGAAAATGTTTATTGAGTTCTCCAGAGGAAATAAAACTCTTTCCACAGATGCCACAGATATATGGCTTCTCTCCTAAAGTAAACACAAGGAGTTTGTTATTTCAACATATAAACCAGAATATACAGTATAAAGAACAAATTAAAATGAAACAGATAATATCCAATGGGAGAAAGAGCTCCCTAAACCAGAGTCAAAGAGAAAGAACACGAGAAAAGAACTGGTTGAGAACACGAGAGGTGACCCCCAGCTCCTCCCAATGCTGACTTCCTCCTCATTACCCATCCCCAACCCCTCTGCAGCAGCCATCTCCTGCCAGGCCTGGTTGGGTATCTCCATGCAAGGTCTCCCCTTACCTGTGTGTTTTCGGGAATGGGTGATGAGAGAACTTGAGACAGCAAAGGCTTTTCCACAGGTGTCACACACGTAAGGCTTCTCCCCGGTGTGGCGACGCACGTGGTAGGTGAGCGTGCTGGCCTGAGCAAAGCGCTGACCGCAGCGATCGCACACGTAGGGCTTCTCACCACTGTGCTTCCTGGGAACAAACAGACATCAGGGGTCTGCTGGCACAAAGGGAACTCACCCTCACTGCTCAGTGATTTTCCTCAAGTTTCTTCTGCTTTCTCCTCACAGTGGTGTTCTGTGAACTAAAACACCTCATCAACTGGGAGCTGATTTTGAGTCCGCAGTTTCTCACTGAGGGAAATTCACTGGGAATGAGGGCATCAATGATTCCTTCTTCATTCCTTCTTCCTCCTTACTTCATAGAATGATAGAATGGCCTGGGTTGCAAAGGACCACAGTGCTCATCCAGTTCCAACCCCCTGCTGTGTGCAGGTCACCAACCAGCAGACCAGGCTGCCCAGAGCCACATCCAGCCTGGCCTTGAATGCCTGCAGGGATGGGGCATCCACAGCCTCCTTGGGCAACCTGTGCCAGTGCCTCACCACCCTCTGGCTGAAAAACTTCCTCCTAAAGACAGGACAATGACCTCCTAACAAGGAAACATAATTTGTACTCCTGCCAAAAATGCAAAAGCTCCATTCAGGCTGCAGTCAGCAGAGAGACTCACTTTGTACCACGTCCTATCAAGATCCTCTTTCCTCTACGAGTACTACAGACAATTAAAAACAAAACAAAACAGCCACCATTGCCATAAGGATACCAGTACATACACTGTAACATTCATAAATTCATAAAATGTGTAAATCAAAACCCTAATGAGTGACTACACAGATACACAATTTATTACACAGGGTGAAGCAAGACCCAAGATAAAACATGCAGAAATGACCAAGTTATGTGAACACGTGACTCCTGCTAACACCAGAGTTAATCATTCTAAAATGATAAAAGTTTAAATAAATGTATGGATAAACACCTTCAGGATCTCACTTCTGCCTACCTGGCATGAATCTTCAGATTGCTTGAAGTTGCAAACTGCAGATTGCACACATCACATTTGTATGGTTTCTCTTCTCCGTGATGCATCCGACTGTGGAACACCAACTGGCACTTCTGAGCAAAGCCTTTGTCACACAGCTCACATTTGTATGGCTTCTCTCCTAGCAAAGAACAAAACCTTTGTACTGTCTGCATTTACGTAAGAAAGCTTTCCAATCCATTACCTGACCAAAGCTCAAGTGTCTGTTCTAACTCTTCTTACAAATAACATCTTGTAACATCCTGTACCCGTCTGCTGAGGTGGGACGTGCCAGGAAAACAGCAGATAACACACTGTTTATGAACATACTAACATTTAAGAAGAATAGGTAATAGTTATTACCTCTTAATAAAGCCACTTCCTCCACATTATTTTGAGAGAGCTATTGCTACATTTTCAGGCTTTTTTGCTGGTTATATATCTATTCACTATTCTGAGTATTTGAGATGAACAACCTCTAAATCATGTGCTTGTTCTTGCCTGTAAAACAGCAAGCAGTCTTCAGTGATCTCAGAAATTCTTCAGTGTTCTCTCTAGTGTTCATGAATGTCTCACGAGTGTTTGCTGTAGAATGCCACATGCACTTCTTCAACTGCTTGGGATTTCTGACTGATCAGTACAGTCTCATCAAATGGACTGTGTGACTCAGATTCAGACAACAGCATAAAAGAGGCTGCCCCAGCAGTGCAAATTCAAACTAAGGACAATTATTAAGCATATTGTTCACATAAAAACTTCAAAAAAATCAAAGTTCTAGCATCTCACCTGCCATCTAGCAACCAGCACAGTGAGATCCCCTGCTTATACATGCAAAAATTCCAATAGCAGCACCTCAAAAGAGCAGCTAACATTCCTGCCAGAACACTGTCCTGGAATACTGCACCCAAGCTTCATCTTGCATATCAACTTTGGTTTGCCAATAGCTGGTAATATATGAAATCCTCTCTCTTGGTTACTGAATGAGCACAGTGTTCTTCTGCAGCTGTACCTCAACAACTCCTACTTCACCTCTTCTGCATCTTCTCTGCTTGCTGGAAAGCAGCTCCACTGCTGATCTCTGCTCACCGTTTTCCAAAAAAGAGCAAAAGTAAACAATTGTAATCTCTTTCACTGTTACCTCTGAGTTCTGAATGCCAGCTATAAAAGGAAGAAAGCTATGCAAACAGTGTCCCTCTGCTGCTCACTGGGTTAAGTACAGCAGCAAAAGCCGAAGCAGAACAGCTCTGCTGGATCAGACTAAAGAAAGAACTAAACCAGTATTAAGTCTTCCTTCTCTAGGGAATAACTTAGAAAAAACAAGCAAGGTTCTTTTTCCACCTTTGTAATCAAATATATGTCAGAATTCAAAAATAGCAAGAGAAATTCTGCTATCCGGTACCGTGAGCTTTTCATGCTCTACAGGCAATAGTTTCTGGTGCTCAATTCCATGTAATCACTTTACAGAGCTAAGGGCAGCCAGCCCTTCTGCATCTTTCCAGGAATCAAGATGCTCAGACTAAGCCAGTCTCTTTCAGATTTTTCAGAGTGGGAACTGTGATTTTGTACTGAAAAACTGAAACGCAAAGATCTTTTTAGTGCTGTATCCACATGCTGCTATTACACAACTCAGGAAGACAAAGCCCACAGCTTACCTGTGTGAGTTCTTACATGTGTTTTCAGCTGATTGCACTGTGTGAACGCCTTCCCACAGAGCTGGCACACATAAGGTTTCACTCCTTTGTGTATCCTCATGTGGCGACGGAGGCTGCTGGCTTCTGAGAAGACTTTTCCACACGTGTTGCACACTGGTTTTGCTTTGGAGTACTTCTGGTCAAGCTCTTCTGAACTTTCCAGCTGGTAAGCGTTCTTTTCGCTGGCTATGTTAGACATGCAGTGCTCCTTCAGTGCACAGCTTTGCTGAGGCTTTCCCTGTTTTTGTTTTGCTGCAATAGTCTGAACTAAAATATCCTGTGCTGCCAACGTTTCGTTTTCCACCACGGCTGCCAGCTGCAGTTCAGAGCTATCGCTGCCCTGGGCAGCCTGCTCTGTTATCTGTGCTGCCAGCTTATTTGCATCCAAAAACATTTCAATGGATGTGTTCTCAGTCACATCGTTCTGGTATTGTATTGATTTATTCTGCACGCTTTTTGGGGAGCTGAAATTCTTTTTTCGCTTTTTGGTTTGAGCAGATTTCTTTTCTAAAGCCGATTTCTTTGCTTGAGGTTGAACCAACTCTGCAGGAGGAATATCTGGCTTCTCCCGGTCATTGTAATCTCGCAGGGTCAGGAGGCAGGCCTGCTGGTTCATTTCAATGTTTCCAGTGATGCTGGATGTCTCTGTAGAAGAGGGATTAGCAATAAACGCAAAGTCTTCCATCTTTATTTTGCATTTGGTGACCACTTCTTCTACTTTGAGATAGTCAGCAGCCTGGTGAATTTCCTTAACATTCCAGCTGCAAGAAAACCAGACTTTGGTGACGATATTCTGGACAAAGCAAAAACTCCTTCTGTACCATTTCTGTTAAATGCAAACAGCAGAGCTAAGAAAAGCTATGCTGCTGGACAAAACAAGACAGCTGGCTTAGTATCTTGCATTATATTAGCACTGAGCTCTAAGTGAACCCTCCTGGTTTCACTCATGCACTCATCACAACACAACTGCAGAAGCTGTGGCGGCCACCTGAGGGTCACAATACAAAATGATGGGGACACGCTGTCAGACCTTGCTGTCGTTGTTTATCAAATAATTCTCCTGGGTGAGAACAGAGCTTTCACATCCCACTTCCTCCACAGACCTCAACTGCTCAGAATGAATCCAGAAACTCTCCTGCTGTAGCCCCACCAAGAATGCTGCACACTTCATAATTTGCAAGCCATAAATTGCCAACCTTAAGAGGTAGCTGCGTACATTGCTTTGCTAGTGTTAATAGTTGCAGCTAATCTTAAAGAAAAGCAAACACCCCGCACCTGTGCACTCAGCCATCAAATAGAAGTTTTCAGGTATCAATAACAAGGAAGATTATTATTAAAGTGCTCTTAGAACCAGGTGTTGCAAAAGGAGTTACACTTCTGGGATACACACTTGGATGCGGTCACACTTGAGAGATACTTTCCTTCCCTGTGAGAGCAGTATGCTACAAGAAATCCTCATTGCACACAAAGTAACACAACATGCACAAAATCAGCCAACGGAAAAAGCTTTTCCTGCACCTGGCTGCTTTGCCAAAAGGAACTTTGCTTTGGAACAACAGACCTCGTAAACTCTACCAAACAAAAACTCCACCAAACACCTCTTTAATCAGCGCTGACACTCATCTGCTCCTCAGGCTTCAGTCTCCTCCACTCACTGCAAAAATGGGCTCCTATAACCCGATGTCAGAAGGAACACAGCTGTCCCTCTGTCCTGCCGTACCCACATGAGGTTTCATCCTTCTGGAGCCAGACAGAAAGACTCAAATAGACTGAAACTATCAGCAAAATATCGGGGAACGTTTCTGTTGTGGCACTCACGTGCTGTTGTAAAGCATGCAAACAGCCCACCTCCAGTTGTCAGTGTGCATCTCGTCTGCTGTTATTTGTTCCTCCTGAACGCATTACAAGAACACGAAGCCCAGCGCTGCCTTAACAGCGCACTTCCCGATCGCCTTCCCCTTTTGGCAGCACGTATTACCTGTCAAGGTTTAAGTTTCCCGTATAAATGAATTCCAGGAGCTTTTGGAATCCATCAGCCTTCACTTGAGCCTGATCCAAAACGACGGTGCTGTCGGTCGCGTCTCTGTAGAAGGCGCCGAAGAACTCGCTGAAGGAGGCGAGCACGTTGCGGTGCGCCTTGAACTGGCACTCTCCGATGACCACAGTGCAATCGCAGAGGAAGCCGGCCTCGCGCTGCTTGTTCAGCCGCTCCAGGAGGTGCTCGCAGTGGTGGGAGTACTGCATGGCGAGAGCGAGCCGCGGCCTGCCCGTCCTGCCAGAGGAAAGCGACGGGTTTACCTGCGGGATTCCGCTTCCACCCCCTAACGGGGCGAATTAACGACTGCAAAGGGCTCGGCGTTCACGATGGCCGCGGCGCAGCGCTGATGCGGCGCCTCCGACGCGCGGCACGGTCCCGCACCCGCGGGAGCGCTGACCGCGGGGTCGATCCGCCGCCAGAGCCCAGGAGCCGCGGCAGCGGAGCCGTGCGAGCCCCCCACGCCCAGCCCCGCGACGGGCCTCCCGCACGCGGCGCCGTCCCGGCCCCGGCCGTCCGAGCGCCGTCCGCCCGCCCCGATCCCGCGGTTCCGCTGCGGGCGCGGAGCGGCGTCCCACGCACCTGCGGAGAAGCGGCGGAGCGGCGCCCCCGCCTCAGGCCGCCATGTTGCGGTGACGCCGCGCGCGCCGCTTCC